TCACTTTGTTGTATAATATGTACACATCTTTTCAAGAATCATACTATGAAAATGGTCTTCGGAATCCGATTTTAAGCCCATCATCATTTTCAACTAAAGCTCCAATTGTTGTTTTAGATGTTAGCAAACAGAGTGACTCTGAGAACGTTTCTACAATTGACTTGAGATTAGAAATTGAGGGATGGGATAATTTATCAGGTGTTAGCGCATTTTGTGTATTAATACATGATCGTGTTGTAGAGTATGTACCATTTACAAGAGAAGTTCGTAAACTTGTATAGTTTTTACTATGTAGGGAGTGGGAGGACAAATTGTATTATATAAAGACATTTCTCCAGCAAATTTTACTCATTTTATAACAACACGCTAAACTGTATGTATTAAAGTTAAATTTATAATAACGCTATAGTTATGAACAATTGTGTTGATGAGTGTGGTGATTTTCATAAGATTTTAGACTATAAAAATTGTTTAAATCGTAACAAAACATTTGATATGTGTAATAATGAAATATGCCTTTCAAAACGGGGAATTTTGAGTGAAGCTGGATTTGTGTATATCGGTGATGGATGAACGACGCTGTCGCTTGCTTTACATGTTGGCAGCGTCTCAGAACTTGGGAACTTGATGATGATCCGTGGGTTGAACATGCTTTGTGGTCACCAACTTGCGGCTATGTTCGATTGGTGAAGGGTTCTCTATGAATTGTCTTAACATATTTTAATTTAAAGAAATGTATTTGTTTTACAACTTTTAAAAAAAACAATAAAATAATAAATTTTTATTATATTTACGTTGCATATACATTTTTTTTTATCTATAAAACCCTTTACATTATATTAAGTTAGTCATTTTTGTTAAAACCTTTGTATGGTAGCTATCTATTAGTAAGATGGATTATTTTGGTCGTAACAGAAATCATTTAAATAATAATACAATTTTGGTAAATTTCCAAAGAGGTGTGAATGCATTAATGGGTTAATAGAAAGTTTAAATAATTCACTTAATACCTATAACGATAATTTAGAAAAGAAACTAGTGGGGTTAATGGAAACCTTAAATAATTTACTTAATACCTATAATGATAATTTAGAAAAGAAACTAAAAACACAAAGTGAAACATTTACTAATGTAACAAAAAATATGATAGATAAGTCTTACATTGATTTAAAAATTGAAATCAATAAATTAAGGAGAGAGGATTCAAGGTGGAATAGCAGGGCATCCGATAATAGAAACCTATAATTTAGAAAAAAGAAACTAAAAACACAAAGTGAAACATTTACTAATGTAGCAAAAAATATAATAGATAAGTCTTACATTGCTTTAAAAATTGAAAACCAATATGTATTTTGTTTTTTTTTTTTTAAATTAATTAAATATTTGATCTTGTAAATTTGTTATTATTCTATATCTCTATACCATTATTCTAATTTCTCTATGGTTTTAAGTGGGTTGTAAATGCCCATTAGTTCTAAGTGGGCTGTGAATGCCCATCAGTTATAAGTGGGCTGTGAATGCCCATTGGTAAAAAGGTTGCTGTGAATGCCCATTGGTTAAAAGATTGCTGTGAATGCCCTTATTACTACTACTGACTATTATTCTAAAAATTAAATACTATTAAATGACTTACATATTATTAATAAGATACATTATTTAAAACCAGTAAGAACATGTTACATCATAGTAAATGCTTGTTAGTTATTATTTTGTGCACCACCTATTTTTAACACCACGAGGTGCCACTCGGTGTCATAATTTTAAAATTATTTTTTGTTAATTAATTATATCAGTTAAAAAAAAAAAAAAATTACAGATTTTTACATTGAAAAAATTAATTGGCTAAAAATAATTTTAAAATTGTGTCACGATGCTTTGAAAATGTTATGAAGAATTCAAATGATTTTTCAAAACTTAAATCGGAGTATTTTTAGGTAAGTTCTCAAATATATGTTTTAGTACGAAAATAGATCCTATATTTGTTACAAAAATTGAAAAAATAATGAAATATCAAAATAGATCTTTCTTTTCTATGGTAATATGTACGTTTACAAATTTTAACTTGGGAGAAAAAAAAGTGTCTATAGTATTTCCAGGTATCAAAAAAATTCTAACACCAACCCACCATTAAATATATTAGTCTAATTATGTTGGTTTTTATTTTATGAATACTGAATATGTAGTTAAATAAGCTTAACACTATGGTGTTGAATAATATGTTTTAAATACTGTTGCTAAACTAATACTCAATACGTTAAAGGCAAGATTAATTGCAGCTTTTTAATAATAACCGGGAAAATTAACCATTAACATTATTTACTATTATCGACTATTATACAATTAGGATCAACACTTACTAAAACGTTTTCTAGTAAAATAGTTAAATGGCAGCTGTTACTATGTTACAAAATTATATATTCCATGTCTATTGATAATTGAGCATAATACTATAATTGGACAACAAATATACCTATACGATGTATTCTACAAACCTTTACTACATTAGATGGTTACGATTGTAATAAATTTGGCCTTAGAGAGTTAAATTTCATTGCTTATGAACCCTAGCTGTCATGAGCCCTTATTTTTGAATATCAAATGTCAAGTATACTTTCTCGTACAATACTGTTATCCATTATAATATGCAAATTTATCAGAACAGTGTGATATACCTACACTGCGTATTTTTGACAGGCCCATTAAGAATGTGTTTGAAGTCAATGTCCCGAAAAGTTTTGAGGTCCTTTTTCAAATGACGCAGTTCTCTTTATCATTTTAGCAGAAGGGTTTGAGATAATATTGTCTACAGCAAATTTAAACTTATTGAAATAAACAGAAAACGATTGTCATATTCAACGTATTCATTACATCCTATGCTATTCAGTGTAATCTCTATACATTTTGGAACCACAGACCAATCTGAAACTGAGTCATTGTCATTATTTTTAGCATGTCCCAAAAATTGTCAATTTAGTGATATTCGTGTCAACAAAATATGTCATTTAAAATTATTAATATACTTCAAAATCAAAGGGAAAATATTAACTAATAGCCCCTGGATTGTCTTAAGTTCTATGGCTGATCCTTTTAGCCACAAAAGACCGCTCCTGATATAGTGATAGGTCGCTTGAAAAAAAAGCGACATTCGAATACTATTGTCTGCTTTAGGATAGTTTTTGGAGAAACAACAGTTAACATTCAATCAATAGTAAACCATGGGGATTTTAGGCATGTCCCGACATTGATACCTCACTTATCAAGTTTTGAATTTGCCGCCAAGCAGGGGCGTATTTAGATTTTTTTTTTTTGGGGGGGGGGGTTGAGACATTGAGTAAATGAGAAATTAACTCTTTGAGGCACGAGATTTTAATTAATGAAAAAACCCTAGTTGCACACAAACTTAATTTTTAAAAAACTTTTTTTATATAAAATATATAAAAAATTATTATTTATTATAAAATACTTTTAATTACTTATTAATAAATGTTGAAAAATTAAAAACTAAAAAAATTGATTTTTTGCGACTTTTTCTATCAATATGATACATATTTTTATATTGGTCAAATTTATCGCCGCAGTTCATGTTCATATAATAGTCCTTAAGTACATTGGGACAAGGAATCATTGGTGTGGTTTCATCTTTAGACTTTCTTTTGACACATCAGTTGGATTATGGAATTTTGACAGCAAAGTAACTTCTCGTTTGTCTTTCCATTTGACAATTGAAATGTCATACTGGTTGCTCATGTTCCAATCAATGTCACCCATATTCATGTTTTTATCTACTCAAACTTTGGTAAGTATTTTCGAGTACTGTTAACTGTTCCACAGTAATAAAATACCTTTTGATTTCAGATATGCCAAAAGTGGTACACTTGTTAAAAAATGATCGATGTTCCTGATTTTTTGGCGGGAATAAGGGGTAACGAATATAAAATTAGTATGGTCATTTCTAAGATGAGTTAGTGTGACACATTTTCTGTCGATACGAATGACTCCGGATAACTAAATTAGTCATTTTATAGATTAAGTTAAACATAATCGATTTTTTCTTGTAAACTGATGATAAACAAGAGTGTAAAATATTAAACAATTAGTTTTATCCAGGGGCGTAGCCAGTAGGTAGGTCTGGTAGGCCCGGGCCTACCCAAAATTGTCTATATATATATATATATATATATATATATATATATATATATATATATATTAAACAAATGTATTATTAATAAGAATAATCATTAATAACTTTGTTTATCAATGGTTTATAAAAAAATCTTAAAAATATTCAGTAGAACAAAAGCTATATTATTTGTCACACCCTGTATCATGTGCAGCAACTTAAATTATAGAATCATAGTGCACCTTGTGGTAATAAATTAAATACGACACAATATTTATAAAGAACATGTTTGTATCTCAGTAAAAGATAAATAATTGTGTTCTAAATTTATTTCCCCTCTTTGGACAACCAGCAACATTTAAAATCGGAAAAACGCCATTTAAAAAATTAGTACATTTATAAACTTTAAAATACGATATTTCATAGTCCTAACTTGATTGCAGTACTCATTACAAAATATAAATTATCCATTTATATTAATAACTTTGTTTTATTATCGACAAAAACTAAGAGTAAAAAACCTAATAACGAGATTATAAATACATATTAATAACATTGTGATTTTTTAATACATTATTACATTCTACATAATATTATGTACTAAATACTTGTATGCAAATACTTAATTCATTCTAACACCACCACCACCCCCATATAAGTAAACTTGTGCGAGGTAAATAACGGACATCTGTTTTAGCAGCGTATTGTACGCGAACGCGATACCATTAGTAGGTACCAAGTTCAACGTTATTACGCCACACAGGTCGGAAAAATATTAGTATATAATGATTTTTTATACATTTACTTAACCTAACCTTAGTACTGAAACGTTTTTTTTAAGCGATTTAATGTATTTTTAGTTATAATAATTCCATAATACTTGTAATCTTTCTGAATCACGGCCCCTACTATGTTCAGTATTTCGACGCTATGCACTGCCTTATTTTTTTTGCATGTTGATTTGCACAATAGAGAATAGGTTAAAGCTGAGCATTTAAATTAAAACTTCAAACATGCTATAATTATTGTTTCATGTAGAAATAGATGTTTATACTTTGTCTCACTGGTTATTGAACCCATGGGTTACTGCAAGATACCGCTGATCAATAACAAATAATTTTAGTCACAGAGTAAATTACAAATACAAATTATTACAGGTTATAGGGCAGTGGCGTATTTACTGGAGAGGGAAATGGGGGATAGATAAGGGATGGGCCCTTAACCTTTTTTTTTGTAGTTAAGCTTTCCGTATTTCAATATAATATTAATATTAAGTATATCTGTTTTTTAACTATTCTAAAAAGGCCAAGGGGGGATTAATCCCCCATACCCCCAGCCCCCCGTAAATACGCCGCTGTTATAGGCAGAGTTAGATATTTTTTATTCGAATAACGAATAATAACTAATTTATTCGAATAATCCCTTTATTAGAAATTATCTAAGATTATTTATTGTAACAACTGAAAAAACAAATCAATCAAAGGTCATTCGAATTAAAATGTTATTCAGCGGGTGTTCGAATAAAAAAATTATTTAAATAATTATTAAGATAAAAAATTATCTAAACAATGCTAAACTCAGGTTATAGGGTCAGGTGGGATTATCCGGTCATTATTCGAAGCCCATTATTTACAGCTTAAATCACTTAGTTGTCATATCTACATATATTTTTTTAATTAAAAAGTATTATTTACTACTTTGAATCACAGTTGCATAATATTATATTTTTTATCAATTTTAGAAATACGTAATAATGCATTTCTAACAGCAACATTGGGATAAATCATAGGTCAGCGTCTCTGAAAATGATAAAATCGTTAGTATTTATTGTTTATTATTATTTAGAAATTTATACAAACATTTTTAATCTAATTATTTCTACGTGTGATGTGCTATCAATCGATTCCTGTGAAACCATTGTTTAACAATAATAACCAATAAGTTATTAAGATGTAATTTGAAAGCAATTATTTATATACATTTAACTTTTTATGGTATTTTAAATATGTATACTTATCGATTCGATAATTCGTCGGATTGTCGTTGGACAGTATAATCCTCTCTCTCTACAAATGTCTATGCTTTATTTTTTTTTATTTTCTTTAATAACTTGCATAATTAATCATAATTAATAAATATCTCTACTTATAACAAAGTAATACGAACTTTTGTTGGGTAAAAAACCCATAATTCAATTAGCTATACATAAGCATTAATCAAACATCAAGATTGTAAAGCATAGTACGTCATAGTCGATTTTTTAAGTTTTTAAGTTTAAGTAAAGTTGTAAACCTCTTAGCATTCACTAGATGCGGCTAGGACTTAAATAACCTAAAAAACTGCACAACAGAGTATTAACAAAGCTAACAGGAAATATTTTAATTAAAAGTGATAGAAAAATTCTGAACAAAATTATTTAAAACTGTAGATGGTAAATTATATTAAGTAAAATTATTAATAAATGTACAGACATTTTATGTGATTAATGGTGATTATTTGAGTATTTTCGATAAAAACGTTAGACTACCTACAGATTTTTTTTGATATTTTAAATAAAGTATAAATAATTTTTTCAGTGCCTTACCAACTTTTAAACTGAGAATAATTCACTCATAATTTTAGTTTAAACTTTCTATTATTGATATAAAATATGTAATAAGTATTAACTAACAAAAATGATTTCCAAAAAACCAAAATGCTACTATATTTCTGAAAAAAGTGACTTTGGTCAAATTAAACACATTACATATATGTTAAACCAACATGTAATAAATATTACATTTCATAAAAAGTATTATAATTGGAATTCTACGCTTGATATTCCCCCCCCCCCCAGTTTTCCCTTTAGGAAGGCGCCTGGTGTAAACAAGTTTTGTGCCTACATATAATATGATAAAAAATACTTCCAGGATAAAATCTTGAAAGGTTTCTTTCAAATTATTTGAAAAAAAAAAAATATGTTGTAGAATTACAATAGCATTGAGTCACTACAATAGCGAATAGAGAAAGTAGATATTCTTTTGTTTTTTAGCTGTATGTATTAAAGTAAGTCAACTATTTTTTTAATAAGTTATAGTGTGCCGTAATTTATGGTAAACAACAATTTGTACATTTTACATGTGTTTATGTTAATTTAATTTCTGATTTAAATACTTTCTACATTAAGATATTAGTAGTTAAAAATATGTTAGTGTGGGTCCATACACAGGCAAAAAGAGAAAAAGTCATCATTGTAAAACCAATACTTTTTGATCTACGCATCGAAGCTTATTATTACATAATATTTTAATACATTATTTTTTTATAAATATAATTACTTGGAATAAGACTTTTTAAACATCAATATTACTAGTTAAGATTGACATGACAAATAATAGTGGACGACAAAATTAACGCTGAATGACAAAATCATTAATAATGTTTGTTCTCAAAACAAATGCAATATTATGTTATGACAAAACAATGGATAAGGCTTGAGATGACAGTCAGCGAAAACGATAATATTGTTTAAGACACAAATGACGCAAAATCTACGCGACTTGTAAAATCATAAATTGTATTAATGAAATATACAAACATTGAATTTGCGTAATTGTAGTAGATATTTTATTTTATACAGTCGATAAATACGTACGGAAAATAAGCCTGATAATTTATAACAGTGAAATGTCATACATAATGGTCAAGATTGTCATGACAAGAAAAAAACATATTTATTTATTTTCCCGTTGTAATACAATTAATAATTAAAACGTTTTAATTTGATTTAAATTACTAGTGTAAATCTGAGAGAAACCAGAGATATCTACGTCATGAAATATACTTTAGCAGAGATTGTTCATAGCGGGCCTGTCTAAATAACGACAAACTTAATAAATGTATACGATTTATGAATTAAGACCATTTCGTGTTTTTCCATTAATTAGATTTAGTTTCACTTTAGTTTATGGAACGTAACAGCCTCTTTTAGAGAGAATTAAAGCGCTATTCATCATATTCAATTTTAGTGACAAAAATATAGGAGGGAAAAATAATAAAATCAAAATTCAAATAAACACAATTTATCAAAAAAACAAACAAACTTATTAACAAAATATCGTGACCTTATTAATCAAATTAACTAAATTAAAATATCCAAACTAACATAAAAAAACACCTCGAATATCAATAGTATTTAATATAGACATAAAATATATTAATAGTATATAATATTAACTATAGGTTAGAATAATCTATTAGTAATAGATTAGGTAGTCATTATATTATAAATAGTTGAAACAAATTTTATTAATTTACACAAATATATACAATAAACAATATTTTACTTAATGCCATGGTCAGAACAATAATTTCGTATGAATAAAAATTAAATTATATTTTCCTCAATTCACAGCAGTATACTAATTTAGTTTAAAAATACTGCTTCTCCACAGCCCCGGGATTTATATTTTTCATTAAAGTATCTACCAGCGAAACAGCATTCAAATTTAAAAGAGTAATAATAATTTTAGATGGCCTTGCTCTTACAATACACTAGGGAATAAGGTATAAATGTATTGTTTTCAAGCAATTGAAATTATATTAATAAAAACAAAATAGAGATCACATGCTTAATTATACAGAATCATTACTTTTTAAATATTTTTGTGAGTTATAGCTAGTTTATTTCAAATTTTAAAGAAAAATACATGTTACAAATAATGATGGGATGTTCGGCGATTTAATAACATAATGTGAACGTGCGATATAGAAAAATTATAAGCCAAGGCATTTTTAAGTTAAAAATATTGAAATATTATGGGAAGTCAACAGTGTCGTAACATTGAGTACCAAAAACCCTGTAGCAAACAAAATTTGAAAGTGATTTAATCACTTTTAGTTAAAATAATTTCTGTAGATCTCTGACCTCCCTCGCCTGACTATGACCCGACCCGACTCTTCTGCCCTTTTTTACCCTTTAGTTGGGTATTAAGCCGCCTTAAAACACAAAAATTATGACAAAGAATGTCCGCCATTGTTTTAATAGTTAGTAATAAAATGGAGTAGTTAATTTTATAGTTTTATTGTAAAAATATAACTTTTTAGTTTTTATAATAATATTTAATAAATTAAAATAATATGAACTATGAAGACTATTATTTATAGTCTATTACTCACGACTGTTGTTCGTAATTTTCAAATATTGAATTGTCTTTTTTTTTGGATAATAATATAATATAAAAAAGCACTACACAAAATGCCGCCGCCCTACTGTGTCTAATGGGAAATACGTCTCTGAACGTGTAAGTTAAATGTTTACTTCTCGTTGGCAATAAATATCACCGTCGAATGACATATGAATTTGTAAAATCATTTCGCTTGGAACTACAATTTTTATATACTTTTTGTTTTTATCGTTATTTTATGAATAAATTTGGTAAAACACAAATTTTTGAGATAAAAAAAAACTTTTTTTAATACTCACACATACAGTACGGTTCACTACTAACCGGTCCATGTGTTGCAGACTTTTAAACTGGAATTTGTATAATACGTGTTACGACCATTTGCCAAACTCGCACTAGGTATATGGAGTCTTCCTCCATGGGTGAATAGGTATATGCTAAAAAGCGAGTTCATGTTAAAAAAATAAGAGCGTTTTTGTGGCGAAAACAATAGGCGGTACCTTCCCAACTCGGTTGCGGTTGAGTCATTTGTGATTCAGGCGGTGTATGCAGTATGACAGACTAGGATGCGATTTGCAAACGGGAATTATAATATTCGCGAATCAGAGTTAATCACACGGGTCGGCGGATTTTCGGATCGCCATCAGTGGTTAATAGGTACAAATCGGCGCGGTCTGGGGGAACTATTAGTTTCTTAAAATAATAATAATATACCTACTGTAGTCAGCGCAAAAGTTTGTCCGCCGCGTCGGTTGGTCGTAGTATCGCGAGAGCCGCCGCCGCCACCGCTGTTATTTGGCCGTTACTATTGCCATAACCGTCGTGGGCAACGCGAGTGGTACGCGCGCGGTCGTTTCTCATTCGTGTCACGAAAAATCTGGCGTTTAAAAAAAATTATAAAATACTCGGTGGTCGATTATTATTAATTATAAACTGAGAAGAATTAATTAAATAATATTTTAAAACACATATAGGTGCATAATACATATTATTATTATCCGGAATAATAATGTTCGATTCAAAGAGCGAGCCGCTCGTCCGGCTGTGCCCTTGTTGCCGTTCGTTGGCAGACGAGTAATTTGTATTGTATTTTTCTGTTATAACTATTCAAACGTAATATTATATTAATGTTCATTCCTTGGGGCAAGTTTCGCGTAAAATCCACATGACGTCGTGATATTACAATAGCATCAATACAGTCACCGAAACCGTCCTAACGCATTACCGGCCGTTCGTTCAGAAATAAAACTACTCTTGCACCGGTATCTTATCAGTGCGCATGATAAACCGTCGTGGATAAACATACAGTTTATATATATATATATATTGGTATTTAAAGTTAAACGTATATATATATATATATTTTATATAATACAATTTTCAAGTGCAACGTAGATTATCTACCTCTACGCCTACCTGCGGGCTGCGCCTATCCACCGGTCGTCGATATCCGTTGCAAGAAAAATTGTATACCTGTATGCACGTTACGTTTTGAACGGCGGCAACACAAGTGGTTAACACTTACCTGTAATAACCGTTGGCTTTTCAACATGTCGGCCCCAAGACAGGTAACCATTACAATAATATTATTAAACAATAGGCATTCGTTATTCTGTATAGCTGTTACATTTTTCGTTAAAAAAAAAAAATAAAAATTTCCAGCTGCGATCCGGAACGTGTTATCTGCTCGCAGTTACCGTCATCTCTCGATTTTATTGTTATAAGTTATTACTTTTTATTGCACGCTTGATTATAAAAAAAGGGCATTCGTAATCATTTGACATTAATTGAAAGTGGGCTTCCGTTGAGTAAAATAGGATTGTTCGGAATATTAATCGCCTAAAACAACACTGTACCCCTATAATACCTACTACACTGGTCTACTGTTAGCATAGTGCAGAACTCGAAAGCGATGGAAATATCAAAGAAGTACCTCACTTTTGTGACCGGTGTACTATCTATTGTTATTCGTTACTACTAACAGTGTAGAATAGTATGTTCATTATATTTCCATACCGTTTAGTTATTAACGAGTTTTTACTTACGGAAATTGTATTTTTGTTAACATTAATTAAACGCTCACCTGGAGGAATTTCAGGGGATAAGCGGTAAGAATCGACTGATGTGTGTGATGTATACAAAGTACACTAACCGATTGATTTACAAGTTACTTTAGGTATCCGCACATTGTAACTATTCTTGTTTACTTAATATAAAACTAGTATTTAGTTTTTTTTAATACTGCGTCACCGATTTAGACCGGAAAAACAAGTTCTGGAGTAGAAGGCCATAATAAATCGTGTATATGGATCGATACTCCAGCAGATATATATATTAAAAAAATTTGATAATATTACAAAATTAAAAACCATAACTATTTTGTCCAAGCGGTTATGTTAAATATCCGTTCCGGTGTTTATAGTAATTAATAAACTAAAGCGATTAAAATATAATTTTTTTAGGTACTTATACAACTATTTTTTTTGGGCAGTTAAGTGTAAACGTGTTCTATGATAACACTATCTTATTTAAACATATAGGGGTTTGTAAACATAATAATAATTATTTTATTAATATTATTATCATTATACATTAAACAATAATAGTATGTTATTTCGTAGAAAACTGTTAATTACTAGTTGGGTCTCCGAAAAAGTATAGAACAACATTTTTTCTATTAAAACTTAATTACCTTTAAACAATTTGAAGTATCCACCAATTGTAGGGGATATTTAGTTGAGATTAGCGATAACTTTTTTTTTTCTTATTGTTTCTAGACAGGTTAATTAATTTACCAAACCGTGTATTTAGTGAATAATTTTAAGTAGGTTGTCATTGGTACATTGACTGGTAATTTCTTTGATACTAATGAGACATGAGTTTATAGTTACTGCCTACTATGCAATATTAATTTAGAAGATAATAAATAATTGCAATTGCATAATTCCAACCATGTGCTCGTGCTGTGTTAATGTTAACAGATAATAGACCGTTGATAACGTCAGTTATCATGTGGATGTTCCGTAGTGATAAACCGGTACCTGTTGGCTGCTTCTGATTATTTAATCGTTTTGTTATCTAATACCTACCTATCTATTTAATTATTGTGTCTATGAGAAACAAATAACAATTTTATTCCCGAAAAACTGGATTCATTTTGAGAAATTAAAACTTAGTAAAATTATCGAAATGAAATGTCTTTCAGTGAACAGTTCAACATATTATATTTAATAGATTGTTGACGGTTCGATGAAATATCAACTACAAAGTATCAATTTAACGAAACAAATTAATTTTTTTGTTCAGTGAATTAATTCGAAGTTCATACAATGAAGTAGTGCTAAACAAACTGATGTATTAGCTGTAATTATAATAATAATGGTATACACATTGAGTAATAAAGAATAATTATCTAACTTATTATGGGAATTATGCATAAATTATTTGGTAATTTAATTTAATTATTATTTTATAACTTGTAGTTTCTTGTTCATACCTATGTAATAATATATTTATATATGTATGCAATATAAGCTGATAATATATACAGTTTATAAATAATTTCTAAGTTATCAAAAAAAAAAAAAAAATACTTAATTTGAACACTATTATTCACATACAATGTAAACATTGAACTAATGGCTGTGAACTGAGTAAATTTATAATATATATATCGCAATTCTTAATAAGTATCCGTTGTTAACATTATTTTTAGATTTAAATCTAATTTTTAAATTTTATTGTTTTCTGAGTATAACATTCTATTCTTATTTAATTAATTTTTTTTTTAAGAATAAATTGTTTGTTTAGTAATAGGTCTGTGTTATATTTCTATTACTGCCAACATAATTTTTTCAGGAGAACCAATCCCTTATAAAATCATTACTGAGAAGGAAAAAAGAATCAGCTTTGGTAGTTGAACCAAAACTTAGACGAGAACTTAGTTTGTTTGACTTAGTGTCATTGGGAGTTGGATCTACATTAGGCCTCGGTGCTTATGTTTTAGCTGGAGAAGTATCTAAATTACATACAGGGCCTGCTGTAATATTGTCGTTTGCGTTTGCTGCTGCGGCCTCTGCTCTATCGGGTAAGCAATTTATATATTGCTAAAAATAAGATGGATTTAAGTATAATTATTTTAAACCATAATTGGATATAATTGTTAAGATTAAAATGTATAATATAATTCTAAGCATTTCAAGTGTTCTTCTATTTTCTATCTATGTTAATTGATTTAATTATTGTTACTGATTGTAGGATTATGCTATGCTGAATTTGCTAGCCGTGTTCCAAAAGCTGGTTCAGCATATGCATTTAGTTATGTTGGCGTTGGAGAATTGGTAGCTTTTCTTATTGGATGGGATTTGATTTTAGAGTATAGCATTGGTAAGCTCTTACTTAGTCGAGAATTACAATTATATGTTGTAGTGTCTAATAATAGATTATATATATTTAAAAAATGTATCCTAGGTTGTGCAAGTGTAGCAAGAGCTTTGAGTGGTCATATAGATAAGCCATTTGGTTATCCGATGAAAACTTATCTTAGTACAAATTTTCCTATTCATGTTAGCTTTTTGGCTCCATACCCAGATGTACTTTCTTTTTGTGCCATTCTCATATTAACAGGTAATTTTTATTTTGAACATTTTAATAATATAGTTCACTAATTCATGGTATAACGGTGTAATTTAATAACATAGAAAAAACAAAAAAGCACAATAATAAAGCTTTTAATGAAATAAATATTTTTGTAGTTTATAGTTATTGTACTTTAAAATAGCAAAATTATAAATTCAGTTGTTAAAATTAATATTTTGGCAGCAGCAATAAATTAATTTTACAAGTTTATTAGACAGGAATTTTATTTTAATTTTTAATTTTAATAATTAAATTTCTTGTAAAAATCTTCATTTATACAGGTTGATCTGTGCACTCGGTGATATTTCAGATACTATTAAACCACCATGCTATAGAATATAGATCACCTCTAGATTGAAAGATATGAGAACATAATAAAATGTATTCTCGGTACCTTAACTAAAAAGAATGCTTAAAACATGATTAACTCTAAAATTAAAAATTTACTCTTTATTGTGATGTAATAAATATTATAGTTTTTTATTAAAATTATTTAATTAAAGTTTGTGTTTTTTTCCAGTATTAATCGCCTGGGGAATACGCGAATCATCAATGCTCAACAAAATTTTTACTGTTGTAAATTTATTAACAGTAATCATAGTTGTTATAACTGGAATTTTTCTTGGTAAAAATAGCATTCATAACAAAATATTTTTCGAAATTTATTGCCCTAAGATAGTTTGTTGGGAGTTTTTTTTTAAATTCCGGAAGTCTAGGGAGTAATATTTATTTGATAAAATATTCTATTTTTTTCAGCTGATTTAAATAATTGGAAAATAAGAAAAGAAGATATCCCAGAAGATGCTAATGGTGGCGAAGGAGGATTTTTGCCTTTTGGTTGGGCCGGTGTATTTACAGGAGCTGCGACGTGCTTTTATGGATTTGTAGGATTTGATGTTGTTGCTACGACTGGTAAATTATCATTATTTATTTATTTATTTATATATATGTATGTACAGGACTGGTCCAATTCAAAGAGTTGCCACAAATAACTAAATTAAAATACATCTTAATATAGGAACATGAAAAGTGCAAATACATAAAAACAATTAAATAATAAAAAAAAAAAAATAATAATAAAAATTCGCAATAATTTGAAAAATATAAATGTACACCAAGAGCATACAATCTAAAATAAAAAAGATGGGTCCTCATTAGCCAATTTCATCATTCTAAAAAGAGGACGGTTTAACATGTAACTGGTGGAATAGAAAAAGGATAACAATGTGGTAATTCAAACAGGGATGCGAAAGTTAACAGTCTGCGACAATTCAAGAGTATCAGTCTTCCATTTATTAGTTTAATTTTTTATAGTTTTTTTTCTAATAAATCTAACTAATTTTCTAATAGCTAAACTAAAAATTGGCCTATTTGCCCCTATAGCAAAGATAGTAAGCTTATCATAAAAAAAATTTTAATCTGTCCAATTGATACGTCAGAAAATGACTTCTACAAAAGTAATTTTTTATCAAACTTTCTCTATAACTCGTAGAAAGATAAATATATTGTTAAGCACCATGTAAAATGGTGTTATTAATTTTATAGTTTAAAGTTATTTTATAGTTATTAGTAATTAAATTTTATATTTTGTTACTTATTATAGGAGAGGAAGCCAAAAAACCTAGAAGAGATATCCCATTCTCAATTGTTATTTCACTAGTGATCATTACCTTTTCATACTGCAGTTTAGCTATGGTGTTGACACTTATGTGGCCATATTATGATCAGGTATAGTATACTACAAAACAAACCCAAAATTTAATATGAAAGCTAAAAAACTTTTATTGAGTGTTAGACTCAAATAATTGCAATTCTATTATTGAGTTTATACTATAGTCAAATAAACAGGAAATATAAAATATTCGTTTTTAATAGAAAAAATATACTAGGGTAATGATGCATAATTTTTCCATTTAGGACATAGATGCACCTTTTATACACATTTATCAAAAATTACATTGGACTGTGTTACAATGGATAGTTACTGTTGGCGCTGTGTTTGCTTTATTTACAAAGTAAGTATTCAATGAGTGGTTTTTGAAAACGTATTGGTTGTTTTAGTATATTTCTAATTATTTCATTTAATTAGCATGATAGGTACACTGTATCCATTACCGAGAGTAATGTATGCTATGGCGTCTGATGGCTTGATGTTCAAATTGTTTTCTAAAATCAACCCGAAGACAAAAACACCGGTTTGGGGTACAGTTGTTAGCGGACTTTTTGCTGGTAATATCTTTAGTGTAATCATTGTACTTTAAATAATATGTATAAGTTATAACATACATTTTACTATATTAGTATTATTTTTTAACAATTATATTCCGTTTTTAATCCTTGGTTATTCAAGATTTTTGTTAGATCTCATATTACAATTTTATGTTATTTATAACAAAAAATTGAATAACTGTATTACGATACCATTTTCAAAACAAAATTTATTTATGTGATACATAATATAAGTAACCTATTTATTAATTTTAATAATGTTTATTGAATCAAAATCTTAACGGTTTTTTTTAAATAACCGTTAAGTTAATGATATTTTTTGTATTGATGGAAAAAGGGTTTTTACAAAATATATACTTGTACAAACAATTAAATTAAAAAATATAGTATTAGAAAATTATGACCTAACATGAAAGCGATAGGGAAGGTTTTTTTATAATTGATAAATCCTAAATAAAAAATTTTAGTCAAACTATAAATATTATATAAGTTAAAAGAAAAAATGTTTTTTAAAAAATTAAATATTAAGCTAAATATATTAAATGTATTCTTTATTTATTTTATATTCATTTATTGAATGTATTAAAAAACAGCCGGATAACTATAGAGTAATGAATTTTATCTATCCTTAATCCTATACTTAAAAAAGGAAAATTATAAACTTAAGATAAAGTTTTAAAATTATTTTTCCTAGTCTAAATCGAAATTAATTAAATAAATGGATAAATAATGTTTTTAAAAGGAACATAACTGTTTAAACTACTATTTAATTTAATTTTTAATGTTATACTCTTTTTTTAAGTAATGGTTTTTCCATTCACAAAAAATATTCATATAAAATGCTGACAACAGTTGATATAAAAGTTATAGAACAAAATAAAGCTTAATTTTGTCTCTGAAATAACATTACTTTGTTGATATTTTAGCTACAATTTCTAGCTTGTTTGATTTGCAACAATTAATGAACATGATGTCTATCGGCACGTTGATGGCTTACACATTGGTGTGCTTTTGTGTTTTGATCTTGAGATATACAGACGAGATGTCCGACTTCATCAAAGTCAAAGATGATGGAAATATATGCACATCTCCGTTTACTATATTTTCAATTTGTGCTAATCTGACAAATGCCGAAACACCGACTAAGAGGACAGAGCGGGTGTCTGTTGCTATCATAATACTTTTCGGTGAGGATGGATTCTTTTTATACAATGAATATTGATTTATGTCTAAATTTTTTACATTTTTGCAGTATTGGTATCCATATGTTTTACGAGCACCATTACTTTGGTACAACAATTAGGCGAATTCTCCAACATTTCATACATGGCGATTATTATGATGGGAATTTGTTTAGTAGTGCTAGTATGCTTCCTAGCACGTCAACCACAATCTAGCAATCGTCCAATATTTGTGGTAAATTAATTGTTGTTGATATAATTAGAGTTGTAGACAACAGAAATATTAATAATAAACACTTTTAGTAAATAATATAAATCCTATTTGAATAATTAAACTACTACAATAATGATTATATATCATTAATGATAATACGATTAAGAATATGTATGTATTTTATATGTATATATGACGCTATCGATAGATATATGAATAGCATACACAACATTAACATAAAGCCAAGTTGTTCTATGTTTGATAAGGATACATATAGTTTTACTTCCAAATTTTTTTGAAAGTTAAAGCGCGCCGTAATTTTAAATAAAAAAATATTTCAACTTTAAGCGTTTTTTTCAATTTTGAAGGGGTAAATGTTTTTTAGTTTTCGCCTTGCAATGTATTATTCTTGTACGATTTCTGATTAAAACACCTGCTGTATGAAAAAATCTTTCTAACGGTTTAAAAGATATTGTGGTTCCAATCGCATATCTAGAAAAAATATATAAAAAATACATCGTTGTAAAAACAGTTATAATAGCTCCGCATCAAAATTAAAATCTGTTATTTTGGCTATTGATCTCTTTAAGTTCCTAAATAAAAATAATAATTATTGTCTCACGTGTTATAATACTATAGTATAATTGGTATCAATCGATATTGTAGTCCACCGTTGAAATTATTACTATCCTGTTCCATTGCATCATCCGCATTCAGTGGTGAGTCAGTTTGTTATCAGATCTATTTAAATAACTAGTAAGTGATCACTGGAACTGCTTTGTCCAGTCAAAGTTTTTTTCTACTCACATTTTCATCTGTCGCGATTTCTTTATTCACTGCACGCGTCTTCTTCATTTATATATTTATAAATCCTCTGTAGTCCTCTGTCAACAGCAAATCGTTCTCCAACTTAATTAACTATTTCACTTTCTTGCTTTCTTTTAACACACCTTAACCATTTTCAACTTATGTATATGTACTCTCTCAATCTTCCTGCTATTATTGCAACTACCAAACTTGCATATAGTACAAACTTACTTAATATATTCAAAGTTACCTGTACGGATCACACGCATTATGATTAGAGTATGCTGATGAATTTTTTAAATGAATTTTTGTTTTTTTTATTTTCAGGTACCGTTAGTACCACTCCTGCCATGCTTGAGTATCATTCTAAACGTGTATTTGATGACAAAATTGGATGCGTTAACATGGGTGAGATTGGCGTTATGGCTGGTGGCCGGTTTATCGATCTACATAGGCTACGGTTTTCATCACAGCGTTGAGCGTTTAAATACTGCGAATAATCCGCTTAGCCGCACAACATCAGCCGAAATGCCTATGACTGTCAAAACTTAGCGAGCGCATCTTCATCATCTTCAGCGTCGGTTCCCACGTCGCTCACAAATGACAATGGCAATTGTAAAAAAAAAATTGTTTTATTTTAAGTGACTGCTTCATTAGAGAGCCATATTGGCTTCCTACGAATCTCGAAAACTTACCAAAGTCATGTGTGGCTATAGAGTAAGTGTGCGCTTGTCATGGTTAACATGACAAAAAATATTGAAAAAGATAGCTTTAAATCTATTTAACGTGATTATGTTTAGTTTATTAGATTATTTATTGTCCCTAAATACGTTTGTAGAATAATCAAATGTCTTTTTTTCATTTGTAATAAACGCCTAGAAAAATGCATCTTAGTATACTTATACATGAGTAAACGATTATTGAAAATATATTAAATATATACCTATCTTGTTTTCTTTGTAATTTACCTGTATTGAGTCATGTTGGCATAGTATGTCAAAACAAAATCATTATTACACATTTTTTAATATTAAAAAGGCTGCAAAGTTACACAAAAAAGGAAGCAACGGCATACATTATAATTCTGTATTACTTATAAAATGTAGTTGGTATATTTTTTAAAAATTTCAATTTTTATCGAAATTATAATATCGGCAAAAAACGGTTTGTCTTTTACATGTTTCTGAAACAAAATATGTGGATCTGTCAATCTGCTCTTTTTAAATATTACATCTATTATGCTTATTGCTCTACGTTGTACACAGGTTGTATAAATACAAGTTCATTAAATCAAAACAAAATATGTTGCGAAAGTAAAATAATTTTTATTACATAATAGGAAAATTTTTTTCTTCTTTTTTTATTATTTTCAAATGTATATTTTTGGTTAATGTGATTTTCGAATAAAAATGTTTTCGATCTAAATTACTTTGGTATTATATAATACTTCTCTGCTAAACATCTGTTAATGAATAATTATTCACTAAAATTTATTTCGGATACTATATCTTAAAAATCGGTACAGTAAATGAATAAAAACAGGTGACCTAGCTTTTTCTTCCAATAATGTATTCATTGTCATTTTAGATTATTACATAGCCGGATAGGCTCTGGATATATCGGCTGGAGTTTATTTCACTAGGCCAGTCCAGCCGTTTTTATTTAAGTTTGAGATGTATAATGATGTAGTTGTTTATGACTATATCACACGAAAGTAAAGTTCAATAAAAATCACGAAAACTTACTAGAATTCAATATTTTTTATATTTGATATATATTCCATAGGTGTGCAATTTATGTGTGATAAACCACTTCTGGCATATGACTAGGGGAAATAATTGTCGTTGGGTTAAAATGTAATAGGTACTTTTTAATAGATGAATGAACGCCCTAGTTAAAAACCACAATAAATCGAAATTGTAAAAATACATTTTAACAACTTGGTATAGTTAGGTAAAATGTGAAGATACAATTCATGATGATTATTTCAAAACTCATATCAACGGCTTCAATCAAAAATAACATGTTAAAAAAAAAATTCTTTACTAACCTCTAAATTTCTATAAGGGATAATTTTTAATTGATAAATGATCACCCTATATATTTTTTTGACGAAAACACTGAACGGTTTAGTGTAAAAATCATGGTTCTTGATCGTTGATGAGACGGATAAACGAAATTCAAATTGGTAAATACAGGCAGGCCCTTCGTTTTAGCTTAGATTATTATTAAACTAAGGTTTTTTTTTGTTCATTTACCTATTATAAGTATCTTAAATCAGTTTTTACACTAAACACATTCAATGTTCACAGTAAACATGGATTATTTAACAATTAACAATTCTTAATGTTTAGGTACGCCCGGAAATTGAAGCTATGCTCCCCTGTGTAGTATGTACTAACCACAATAACTAAAACCGTGAACGTTGAAAATAAATTCTTACAATCAGCAGGCGACAAGTTAGTTTTGATTTGTATTGATAGATTAATGAACTGTTTAATGGAAGTTGGAACAATACACTAACTACGCGATGTTTGATTTCGTAGTGACTAGTGCAATAACCAAGGCAAACAAAAATTACAAGGTTGTTTGAATTGATGAACACGTTATTATTAATTAATATAACCTAAAATAAATAGAGCACATTAAACGATTAAAAACTAACAAATAAATTCTTATGTTGCAACATAACTTAACGAATTAATAAAGTTAATAGCTGCAGAAAAATCTCCTGATTAAGCGGAGTTCTATAGGTAGATTTAAATTAATTTATAGAATAAATAAACAACAATAAATAATATTCGATACAAATAAGAAGGGATGAAATGGGCATCTGACATATGTTTAATAACAGTGGATATAAATCATTCAAACAAACATACATTAGTCGGTGATATAACTTTAACAAACCTTGCTTAAATCTAATTTGTTGAGCTACCAATAAATTGTACCTCGTTTAAGTGTGAGTTTGATAAGTATTTTTTTTTTTTTTATTTAAAAAAATTGATTGTAGATATAAATTAGTTTCAAAAAGCAAAAACAAAATAATGACTATACACTTATGAGATACAAGTTATTTTGTCATGTAATCAAAATAATATGTTAAACACGATGTTATTCGAATACAGTGATAATTCTGGTATCTAAAACGCGAAGAAAATAAATAATTATAACTTAAAATATTACAATTATTAACTGTGTTATATTCTAAACGTAAAATAACGTTCGCTATACATACACAATTAGTGTAATATACATTTAAAATTACTTAACACGATGACACGTCGAATTAACTTATTATTATAATATTATATGCGCGGTGGTCTGCAGTCACAACTGGAAATTTGAGATTGTTTTGATTTTAATTATTGTTCCACTAGAATGGTACATTTAAAAAATAAATATTCTGAATTTCAATACAGTCCATATATATATATATGTACATACATACTGTAGTAACTAGTATTGCACGCTTGAATGGTTAGTCGGACAAAACGGATAAGTTGACGGAGAACGCTGCTGCAACGTGCTCGCCTGATGCATTTTTAGCTTCGACTACGTACTGGCCGATGTCGTCGGGTCCGGCTCTAAGGATTTTGATTTTGTACTTGTTGCCGGCATTTGTCGTCTGATAGATAGTAGAGTCGTCGCCGATGGGCACACCGTCTTTGTACCAAACAACTGAATAACAAACATGATCGGCACGGTTAAGACGAATGCAAAACAACGACTCTCGAAGGGAATGAGTCGCATATATTTCCAACATCTGCATGTCAAATAATATGTGGACAAAGCAACCAAGACGGCCGTATGTATTACTAGATATTATTCAATAATTATTGGCGTTTAATACCGGGAAATAGTTCGAACTTCTACCCCTTCAATGGACGCTCGCGGTCGCCTTAAATTAGTATATTTATTGGAGTTTAAAATTAAATATTTATTAAACAAATGTTGTACGAATTCATAGTTTTCTAGAGGTTGCTTATGTTTTATTTGGAACGTATTGAAATCAATTTTTTTATGTATTGTAAAAAAATATATGATTATCTTTATACAATAATTTGTAAATTGATTCACGTTTGTCAGCCCTGCAAAGATTTGAGCTTGCACAAAATAATAAAATAACAGAATTTTACTATAACAGAGTAGCTTCTATCTAGGTGCTATGTGAAACTTAAGTGTACCGTATAGAAATTAAAATTGTAATTTTGTATAGAACTTGGGATCCTAGTTGAAATATTAGATTCCTAAGGAAACTCAACCATCATTGTAGCATTTTATGCGACTGTTGTTTAAAAACTATTTTCTTATAGGAATTGTCCATCAACAGCTATTTACCTTCGTCAAGTTTTCCTTCGATAACGCAATCTACTTCGATACTTTCTTTTTCTTGGGCGGTAACCGATTTCGGGAACTTGTCGAACGTGATTCCCTTGGGTTTTTCGTTGGGCGCTGTAAACAAGGTTTGACACGATGAGTGATTGTGATGAAACTTTTATTTCTGTTTCCACTTACTTAGAACGACAATCGTGCAACTACTAAATGCCTCCCCGGCGTCGTTGAACGCCTCGCAAGTGTAAGTGCCAGAGTCTTCGGGGAAGACCTCGGCAATCTTGAGAGTGTAAACGTTGGCTACGTTGCCATACTCAAAATCTTTGCTGGGCTTTATCTCTTTGTAGTTGTGCAGCCAAACCACGTCGAATTTATTTGATCCTAGATAATAAAGTCATTTTCAGTGAGTCGAAACAATAATATTGTCTTTGTACAACAGTATTGAATTGTAAAAGAAAGTTACCGATGATCTGGCATTGTAGTGTTATACCGTCGCCGTCGGTCACCACTGCCGAGGTCAAATGGCTGACGACCACTGGTGGAGAATCGGTTTTGTTTTTACTGTTCGATATTTCTACAGCTGTAAAACAATTAGTGAAGTTGGCTATCAAATCGCAAATTATTTGAATTAATATTTTGAAGCTCGAAATTTAGTGATTGGAGACAAAAGTAATATTTTTATAAAACTTTAATCGTTAGTAATATTACCAATGATGTATGCAATGAACAACGGACACTGGGTTTGAGAGATGTGAGGCTAATTACTTGTAGCTAAATTGATAATGTTAGTTGTGTAGAGTGAATTAATTTGAGAGTAGCAATTTGAGAACAAAACCAAGAGATGAGCTGAGGTTGCTTGTGCACATTGCAACATTACAAGATAATTAATTAGTAAGGCATGCGATCTGTTAGGTTAGGTAGACCGGAGAGTAAATGGTTTGGGTACTAGGAACAAAGATAGAAAAAAGTGTACAGTAGGTAGAAATGAGGTGGATAGAAACATTCAGAAGGATTTCACTTGGGCGATAAACAATAGGTCAGAAAAGTATTTTGCTAAATTTTTTTGAAGTGTTATCGGATAAGATCACGGTTAGGGTGTAGTAAATCGACACCGTTAGTGAAATCGCTATTACTGTCATACAAACCTTTAATTGTTAGTTTACAAGACGTTTCTTTGGTACCCAAAGAGTTGGTCGCTTTGCAAACGTACTCTCCGGCGTCTTCGGGGAATACTTCGTTGATTTTCAACGTGGCCACTCTGTTTCGATACTTTAAGTCCAGAACGTTCGACGAACTGATGGTCTATGAAAAATAAAAACAACAATTTAATTCATGTAAACCAAAAAGTTACAAAAAATTGATGATTTTTTTTTCTTATACCTTTCCGTTTTTGAGCCAAGTGATTTGCGGCTCGGGGTCACCGGTTACTTTGCAAACAAGCTCCAAAGACTGACCGTCGTTAACCGTCGTGTCGGCCAGGCGACTCGAGAAGTCCGGTGGACACATGGCTTCGTCCGGCGATACTGCGAACATATAAATTCCAGAAAAGTTGTTGAAAATCACAACAAAAAGTTTTATACCAATAAACATGCAAGTGATAATTACATCTTAATTCTTTGGTTGAACTGCGCGATCTTGAGGGACTGCCGACGGCGTCCAATTTGTTACCATATTTTTTAATGCTCTTTCTGTCCGAAGAACTAAAGGTCTGTAAAAAAAAAAAATGAAATTAAACGTTAACACCATTGCGAATACATTGATTGTAAAAACCACTGCGCCCAGACCTACCGTGTCGCTAATCTTAGTTGACACGTTTGTGGCGACCGTTTTGTTTGAAGATACTGAACTGTCGCCGTGTACGTTGGACGTGATGGCCGTACGAGTGGTGATCACTTTTGGCGGGTCCCGGTGGTTTTGTTGATGATACCTGCGGTCTGTTGATGTATACAAATAAAAAATAAAAAACACGGGTTTTACTATATTATACACTTTGGAAAAGAAACTAATGCGTAGTTCCCAACGCCAGGTCACGTGGCCGGCAGATGGGTTCGATCGGCGAACAACCGTATTTCTATATCTATTATGTGTACCGTACCTCCTGAATGAAGTAAGCTATGCGATAATTCGGCCTGTTCTTGAGTTTGGTCGCTACCTATTGAAAATAACAGTAGAATAGAAGTTTATTAGATAAATAGCCATACGTGTTACGGATACATTGTGTGCAAGATCGGATTAACAGTAACAACAATAAATGGAGTAATCAAATGATGTAAATAACAATCTTAAATTGTTTGAACAGGCCAATCGATGTTAATATGAAGTTAAAGTTAAACCATTTTTATGAAATTGGTAGTATTGTTAGTTAAATAAAAATATTAATTGAACTATGATAAATAAGATATTTACAACCAATAGCTAGTTGCCAGCTGGTCTTTTATTAAAACATATATATTTTTTAATATATATGTATATTATATTCATATATTAATATATATTTTTTAAGTGTTTGAAAATAATCCTTTATAGTCAATTATTTGACTTATCGAATTTATTTAAGTGATAAATTGTTAATTTTTTTATAGAATAAATGTCAATAATTTTTGCTTTTAGGTAATTTGGTAAGCGAGATTTATATACCTTACCTTACTTAATACGTACCTATTGAACTATAGTTTAAAATATATAAAATTAGCCATATTGGTTTTATAACAACACAGGATAAAAGTTAGGAGATGACTTTTTTATAATTAAAAATATGCAGCTTGTTGTTAAGATTTATAAACGAGTATCTAAGATTATATGCTAAGAAACGAACACTTAAAAACAATTTTGAAGTACTTAAAAAAAGTAGTCAAAATTTATGTCTTCTTATAGGGACTCATTTAGTAATTAAATGTTTACAATAAGAAAAAATAAAAAGTGACTTAGCATTTTCCCCCTTGTACTATACTTACCATGAATTATGAACCAAAGTCAAAAATCATTTTAAGACATTTTTCATTGTTTAAAACAGTTATTTATCGTAACAGCTATTTTTTAATACAATGTTTGTTTTAGAGAGTAAATCACTAAAAGTCTTTCTCAGATAATTATTTTTGGGCTAATTAAATTAAGTTTTGTTTTTACAGTGATGTTAGTAAAACTTGTAAGCAAAATAATGCTGTTAGACCAAACTCATATATTTTAATTGTTTATACAATTGTATTTTCGAAAAACATTGATTTTGTTATATTGGACCACGCTACTGTTAAAAGTCAGTACCATAATATATTATGCATCAAATGACTTAATTATTGGTGTAGGTTATTAGCATGGGAATAGAACATGTTGAGTTTCGGTGAACGAAGTCAGGGTGTTTAACGAACTTAAGTTGGTCGGCATCGGGTCTCTGGAGTGAGTCGGTCTTAATTACTAAAACCGTCCAATGCTTAGTGGTTAAGACTTGCTTGTCAGAAATCCGTTCTGGTCACTAAAAATAATTTTTGGCTTACCCTCCTCCCTCCTGATATGAGCTCATTCGGGGAGCCAGGTAGCATGCTGTTATAGACAGGCGATTATAGGATATACAATGTTGAAAGGATTGCTTTAGAACGTTCATTTTTTATTTTTGTTAAAGCGAAAATACATTTTATTTCGACTTGTAAATGTGTACATACTAAAATGAGGTGTTAATATAACAATAAAACAATGTGTTTAATCCGTGAGTAAATATCACTCAATATACTCGTAATATGATATTGTAAGCGTACAAGAGTGTGCATTGGGAATTAAATACTGGTTTTCTATGTATTAAATAGGTGTAGGGACAAAACTCGGCATACAGCCTCAACAGAATATGTATATTCTTGTACATTTCAATTGAAAATTAATTGCAAAAGCGGCCTGGGGTACCTTCTACGATCACTACACAGCTGGTTTCGTCGGTGCCGTGCTTGTTAATGGCCACACAGCGGTATTTTCCCGAATCTTCCGGTTTGCAGTCTAGTATTTCCAATGTGATTACTCCGTCCGTGTGCGTGATGGTATACTCGCGTTTCGACAGTTCTTTCGACCCCTTGTACCATTGTATCTAAACAATCGTTCGATATATTAAAAGTTAAATCAAATCCACAGAGGCCTTCCACGTCTGAATCCGAGAAAACTCTTGTTACAAACGCCAAGGTAATTGCAAAGAACCTTATTAAAACTGTTTTATTTTAAAGAGAGAAAAAAATATCCGTTCTTGTTAATTTTCTGACCACAGTTTTTGATTTGATGACTGTAAATTAAGCCTGTTAACTGGTAGTTAAAAATAAAAATAAAAATACAAATAAAACTAATTGCTTCTTTCCTCTAACTCTAATGATAGACTCGTTGGTTTTTGTTTAGTAATTTTACTTCTATGACCAATGGCTTTTAAAAAAGGTATGTCCCACTCACCATGCAGATGGGTTCAAGTAGAAATTTATATTATAAGTATAATCGAGAACTCGTGTTGTAAATACACTTACGGTCGGTATGGGCGCTCCACTGAGACAGCACAGCAATTTGCAAGTTTGATGTATTTGTATAACACGAGGACGTAACAAGAACGTGAAGTTTGGCGCGCTCTCTTTCTCTTCTATGTAATACGTTTGAGTTAGTGGTTCGCGTCTCCTGACTTGTGTCACTTCTGGCCTGTAAGTCGGAGCTGCTTTGGGCATGGCTGTAATAATAGATTAAATTAAAGTTAAGAATAAAATTGTAAAATGTATAAATTAATAAAAATCGTGATTTTATGAGCACACGCACGTTGTACGTTGAGGAACACAACTTCTTCTCTGTATCCGTAAGTGTTTTCTGCTCTGATTATGTATTCGCCTCTGTCGTCCAATTTCACTCTGTTGATGATGAACGTGTAATCGTCTCCGGCGTATCGTTTCATAAATTTGACGCTTTGTCTTAGCTCGTCATTGTTGTGGTACCACGACAGTGTGGGCTGGGCGACGGCGATTACGCGGCACGTGAACTTTACACTTTGTCCTTCGTAACAGAAAGCGCTCTGCGGTTTGATGACGAAACGAGGCGCAGCTTGTCGTCGGTCTGATGCAATTAACAAACACAATATGATTTAACAAAAACTTAACAAAGTGACCATTGTGTAAATATTCCTAGTAGACTCACCAAATGAGGTCTCGAATATTTTGTATTTCTCCACCATAAGTTTCCTGAGTGCGCTGTACTCGGCGATTCTACCCAGCGGAAGGGCGTATGAATCCCAGTCCTTATACTTCTGTCGGATCTGGTCTCGCATCTTGATGTAGTTGGATTTATCGATGATACTGGTTCGGTCTGAATGGTCTCCCATCAACCACGGATGCATCAGACACTCGTGGGCGGTCATTCTCTTTCTGAACCGATTCAAATACCATATAAGATTAGAAAACGTTTAGATAAATTATCAATAAAAGGAATACATATTATAACTAACTCTTTGTTTTTAATCAAAAGTCGTCTTATGAAATCCTTTCCTTCGCCGGAAATATGGGCGAACGTCTCTTCGTCAAAGTCCCAATCGCACGCCTTGACGTTTTTCAGCGTTTCCACATCATTTTCGCCGGCAAATGGAGACAAACCACTTAGGCTGAAAAAACGACATTTTTATGTCAAAATGCTTCCAAACGGTCGTGCCTCATTTGATAAACACCAATAGACTAAAGAGGCTTTTACTTAGTTATTCATATTTTTATTATAGGCCATTGAATAATCAAATCGTATGTATTCTTTATCTCGAAGTTAATGAATTACAATTAAATGCACAGAATACTTACAGAACGTATGCAAGCACACCGCAGGCCCACATATCCGTGTAGAAGCCCACAGGTTCCCTCTCAACGATTTCGGGTGCAGCAAACTCTGCCGTTCCTGTGGATATTTTGACAATTTCGTTGGGGTCCAATTTGGTGGCTAAACCAAAGTCGATTAATTTCACGTTTGAACTCCTCTTGGTCTGGCACATAATGTTTTCGGGCTTGATATCCAAGTGAATGATATTTTTCTCGTGCATATGTTTAATGGCTTCGCATATCTGTCTCATGTAGTTAATTACTTCCGCCTCAGACATGCTATATCCCTCTGAAGTAATTCTCTCAAATAGCTCACCGCCGGACAAACTAGTAAAAAAAAAAATAGCGTTATTTCGCTTAAATCCAAACTCAGAGCTTATAGTAAACGAACGTGTGTTTTAAAACGTGGTTTCTTGCTAATCAAAATCGATTAGACAATTGGAAATAAAAATAAAATACTTGTTTTGCGCAATTGGGTATGTCAAGTTTTAGTAGGTCTTTTTCACTAAGTACTAATTTTACATTAGGTATTTGGAAGGCGCACACCACTTACAATTCATAAATCAAAACCATCTCGTCCTCGTCCTCAAATGCATCGTGCAGATTGATCAACTTGGGATGGTGTAGTTGATTCATGATGTCGATCTCGCGCCTGATGAGTTCTCTTTCTACGTTGTGTGCTATAGGTATGAACTTGGCGGCAAATATGTTGCCCGTTTTGCGTTCGCGGCACCGATGCACCACGCCGAAAGCTCCAGTACCGATTTCCTCTAAGATGTCATAGTCGTCGTAGACGGACTGCGATTTTATATCTACTGGCTGTGGTATGTACTTCGAATAAATATCGAACACTGTGGAAACAACAGACCGTAACATTATCCATAGAACATAGTTTTATTGAGAGTATACAATATATCCACTACTTACCATATTGATCGTAGTCTTTAATATGTCCGTCGGCTTTGCCTCGTACTTTTTTGCCATTTTCATCGACTAGAACATAATTGAAATTATCATTAGGCGTAGTACACAAATATTGACTATCAAGTTTTTCTCAACAAATGTTTTATTACTAAATTATACGTATTAAGAAAAGTTGTATTTACTTTCGTAGCGTTGAGTTTTCGGCGGTTTCTTCAACAACTCTTTGGTTCTGATCATGATTGATACGTCGCTAGGTTTGCTCCTGCCGTACACGTTTTCTGCGTACACCCTAAACTCATATTCGTGTCCGGGGCTCAAACCGGTCACAGCAGTCGAAGTGAATCGCGTGTTGCCCACACGTATCCAACTGCTCATTGGAATCTCGCGTTTTTCTATTAGATAATTGGTGATGTTGGATCCACCATCCCACATTGGAGGTGACCAGCTTAGCACCAGGGAGTCTTGGCCAATGTCCTCGATAGATAAATTGGTCGGTGGATCGGGGTGGTCTAGATAAATAAAACACATAAGTCGTGACGAAACTATTGATAAATGAAGCTCTATAATGGAAATCGAATATATAAGAAGGAATTCAAAGCCCAATGAGATGGTATGAAATTACACGAAGCGAGTAAAATGAAATAACAAAAATGTTTAGAAAATAGATCATTGTGATAAGAAAGCGAGGAGGACATATTCGAGTGAATAATTAAATTGAACATAATGAAGACACAAAAAGTTGTTAGTGACGATAACTGCAGAGGAAAAGATGATAACTGAGAAGGCCTCATACACTTTTGTGACTAAAAAACACAATAATGCTTTGTTTTACCCACCACTAATTTGTATCTTGATGATTGCACTGTCCACGCCCAAGTCGTTCTCTGCTAGAACGCGGTACGGTGAAGTGTCATACTTGCTTACGTCTCTTATAGTTAATATTGCGTGTCTTTCTGACACTTCTACGGCGAAATGACTTCCCGATTCGATCACCTCGTTTTCACGGTACCAAGTGATTTTTGGCTTGGGAAATCCGGTGAAAGGTATTTTTATAACGACGTTTTCACCTTTGTCAAAGAACGCAGTGTCTCTAAACCTCGGTGGAACGTTCAGTTTCGGTGGTGCTAAAAAATAAAAATAAATCAGTTTTTTTATAATAATGTGTTAATATATATTTTTGTTTGGACTACGATATCTTCCAACCCGTAGAACCCATTCCTTCAATATTAAGTATTGAACGCCAAAAATGTTACATAATATCTTTCAACTTAAAACCATAAGGTGCTATTACTTTTTAAAAAAAAGTGAAATTATTTTCTAAATTTGTATGGAATGTTTTTTAGATAAAGTACTAAAACTTGACAACAATTTAAAAAATATAAAAAATCGTTTCCCCTAGAAGTAGTAGAAACTCTTCTTTATTTTATATTTGCCCAATATGCTCCATTAATAATACCTGTTTTTTCAATTAAAAATATATAGGTAGAAACATCTACTCACTCATTATCAATAGTTCTCCACGAGTTGATTTTATACCACCCTTATTACTTGCTCTGCACACGTACTCATCAGAGTCCGCACCATAGACTCCGTTAATGATAAGAGTGTAGGTGTCTCCTTCATGGAACATGTGGTGACGAGCACTGGGAGTAATTTCTCGAGCACCTTTGTACCTATAATTAAAAACCATAAATCAAAATTGAATACGAAAAATAAAACGAAACAGAAAACATGGTAATAAATACTGCAGTATAAAATCCAAGACAAAACTATAAGTTAATTCAAGAATTGCACACAAGATAGAATATTAAATACTTACCAAGTAATTGTGGGCTTAGGTACACCAGTGATAACGCATTGGAATTGAGCGTTTTGATTTTGAACAGCTTGAATCTTACGCAGTGGTTTGACAATTTCTGGTGGTTGAGCGGCTTTAGAAGAAAATTAGATATCAGTATAAACATGTTATCGTAGTGTAATCACGTTTTAATCCTTACTCAATGGATCTTTGATCGTTACGGTGTTAGAAGCTTGACTGGGCAAACTTAGTCCGGCTTCGTTTTGGGCGAACACGCGGAACATGTATTGTCGGCCTTCTATTAGATTTGAAATGTTTATCTGGGTGGGAGCGCAAAGTGATGCGTTCACTCTCTGCCATGTTTCGGAGTCGATTTCCTTTTTATCGATCAGATATCCCTGAATTCTCGAACCTCCATCGTCCAATGGTCTGTCCCAGCTAAGGTTGACAAAGTCTCCGCCAATTTCGGTAACGGTGGGAATTCCTGGCGGCGATGGCTTATCTATTTTAAAAGTGCAAACATGTCAAAATAACATTCTTTAAAAATAAAATAAAATAAATTATACCATATGGCGATTTGGCTTTGATTGGATTAACTCCTTCTAACGGAGGACTGAGTCCGTTATCGTTGACAGCGATTACCCTAAACACGTATTCATTTCCTTCGGTTAAGCCTTGAACGAGGAAGTTGGTGTCTTTGCACGTGGTCGAAATGCATATCCAATGGTTGGAGTTGATGTCTCTACGTTCTACAATGTAGTTTGTGATCTTTAAGCCTCCGTCAAATTTAGGCGCGTGCCATGAAAGTGCACATGTGTGTTTGGTAACTTCAGATACGGCCAGAGGTCCGATCGGGGGTCCCGGTAATCCTAATAACAATGATTAACAAACATTTTTTTTGAAATTTAATTAAAATTAAATGTCTAATCTAAATTTTATCTCTCAATGTAAGTTTTATTGATCTGATTTGTTTATTTTTTATGTAATAAAGTAAAAATTTTATATAAGGAAATTTTTGTAATTTAAAGCAGAAAAACATTTATAAATATAAGCAGTAAGATAAATACACAATGTCTTTAATTATTGACATATTAATGGAGGCATCATATGTGACCATATGATTCAAGAGGTTAATAATTTTTATAAGTATGTAATTACCTGATATGTTGACGGTAAATGTCCCCGAAGCATTACCACTGGGGTTTTTAAGAGTTACAGTATAATTAGCAGCATCGTTCTTTTTTACCTCCTTCAAGAATATAATAACATAATCGTCGAAAATTGTCGATTTAATGCGGTCGCTTTCTGGCACAACAGTTCCATTCTTTTCCAAATCAACGTCTTCCAACGGGTCGCCACTGTAGAATACTTTGATTTTGGTGTTTTGGCCCTCGGGAACGTTGATCTCATTTGGCATACGTTCGATTTTAGGTGGGTCTAATAACACAAAAACCAATTATGTAATTAGTATCAGTTACAAAAAAGGATTTATTTTTATAACTCACGTCCTATTTTAACGCGAGAAGATGTCGTAACGAATCCAACAGAATTGTAGGCTTGACAAGTGTAGTCACCATCGTCGATTTCGGAAACTTCAGGGAAGTGTAATTTAAAAACACCGTTGATCGACTCACACTTGTACCGACTTCCAGATGCGATTTCTCGGCCGTTTTTTAACCATTTAGCGCTTGGCGTAGGTTTGCCGACGGCTTCGCATTTTAACGTAATTGGTTTGCTATATTGAACCACTTTGTTCGTCAGCGGAACTATGAAATCGGGTTTCTCGCCACCCTCGAATTCCCAAATCTTTACAGGAGTAGTGCACGAACTAGGTTCGCTTTTGCCAACCGCGTTTAGAGCGTACACTCTGAACTCGTAGTCAGCGCCTTCCACGAGGTTCATCGCAGTGAAATTGCAGTCAAATATAGAATAATCATTGCACTTAACCCACACGGCACTGCTGCCTACCTGCCGTTTTTCGATCAAGTATCCGGTTATCTTGCTACCGCCATCTGATAGGGGTGGTTCCCACTTAAGGTCGGCATAAGTTCTACCCACCTTGAGCACAATAGGCGTGCCCGGTTTGGAAGGTGGCTTGGCTTTGCCCTTTAGACGGAACGTAGACGTAGGCACCGAAGGTTTGCTAAATCCAGCAGCGTTCTTGGCCAACACACGGAACTCGTAGTCGTGCTCATTTAACAGATTGTGTACGACGTATAGCGGTTCCTTTACTACGTAATCGTTAGCCGTCCTCCAGTTGCCACCTTCAGTTAAGTCCTTGTATTCAACCTTGTAACCCTGGATCTTGGCTCCACCGTCGTGCACAGGTCGTTCCCACGTTAACGTGGCCTTGATTTCGTCAGATTCCAGTACTTGTGGATGACCAGGTGGATCGGGCACGGTGAATGGGAACTTTGCCGTGATCACGGAGTCCATTTCGATCGGTTCAGACACGCCGTACTGATTTTCGGCTCTGACTCGGAAGTTGTACTTCCTATTAGGTTCTAGACCTATAACGTCATAATGGCATGGTCGGACGAAACTGCTGAGTTTTGACCATAGCTGTGTAAAATCAATCGTACCGTCATGAACATATTACGTGGTAACAAGTTATACGAGTACGATGGTAAAAAAATGGCAAACTTACTCCTGAAGAAACTTCGTACTTTTCTACAATGTAGTTAGTGATTGGTGAGCCTCCGTCATCCAATGGTGGTTTCCAAGACAACAAGCAAGCTTCTGGCGTCAAGTCGGATACCTCAAGTGGTCCTTGCGGTGGTAATGGTTTATCTATTCGAAACAACGAAGAAATACACATTTGAAAGTTAACTGTTTAATTGAATCAACAAATTTATGATTTTAACTTTATTAATACTTACCGACTACAAGTACTTTACACGATGCAGAATCAGCACCGATATTATTGATCAAATGTATTGTGTAACTACCAGTGTCAGTTTTTCTCTTAGCACATTTATTTTTGAAAACAGTTTCTGTAGGTGATGTCTCAAATTTAATCCTCGAATCAGATATGATCTCTTCTCCGTTTATGCTCCATACCGGTTTCGGCAATGGGCTTCCAGTAAACGGAACGGTAATTGTAAATTCTTCACCGGCTATTACTGTCATGTCTCTGATGCTCAGATCACTAGTTATCTTTGGCGCAGCTATAAGGAAATATTAAATATAGTTAGCATATACAAATGAAAATTATTTGAAAAAAAGTAAGAATTATATAATAAACTTACACGCTGGTGCACAACATCTAATCGCATCTGAAGATGAACTCCATGGACCTTGACCAGCTGCGTTCAATGCTGCAACTCTGAACTCGTATTCGTGATTTTCAATCAAGTTGTGTACTCTGTTCACAACAAATTTAGTTAAAAATAATGTTTTGAGTAATGCTGGTTGAACCAAATAAATGTATGTATTACTTCAATGTTGTGTCAAGGATTATAGCATGAGAAGCTTTAGTCCACTTATCATCACTGATAAGGCGTTTCTCCACCATGTACCCAGTAACCGGTGATCCGCCATCGTTTCGGGGTTTCGTCCATTGTATTGTAATCGAATCTTCTGAAGTATCAATGCCTCTTGGCGCTCCTGGGGCTCCGGGTACGTCTATAAAATACAAGCTTAGTTAAAAAAATGTTCGGTAGTATAAAACTAATAGAATGAAATTACCAAATGGATGTCTAGCAGTTACTGGATCAGTGGTGATCGCCGGCTCAGATACTCCATATTTATTTTCAGCCATTACGCGGAATTGATAAGTTTTTCCCACAATAAGGTTTCGTACTTTGCACTGTTGTGATGCAACATAATTACTTACCTGAAAAGATAGTTTAAATAAACATGAAAACAATTTTTTCTATTAAACAGGTAATTTTACCTTTTGCCAAGTAGTAGAATTTAATTCTTTCTTTTCAACAATGTAGTTGGAAATTGCTGCTCCTCCATTGTCCGCAGGTGGACGCCAGAACAAGGTCAATGAATCACCATTCAATTCGTCGGCGTACAAGTGTTCTGGTGGTTGTGGTCTGTCTAAGACTTTTACGTGCAGAGTGGCCGTATCAAATCCGGACTGGTTGCGAAGTTGCAATCTGTATTGACCCGCGTCTGTTCGCTTAGAATTTTTAATTACTAAGCTAACGGAGTTGTCGGTCAACTATAAAGAAATAAAATAAAAGATAAAATATATTTGGTTTTAAAATTAATATTTAGACGATTTTGAACTTAAAATATTTACTTGAGAGTGTACTCTAGAATCGCTATCGTCTATGTTCTGATCGTTGTTAAACCAAACGGCGGTAGGCTTAGGGAATCCAACGTACGGTATATGTATTGAGAAATCTTCTCCGGCCTTCACCGTGATATCTCTAACGCTCGACAAATCCAAGCAGGGTTTGTTGGCTTGCTCTTCAACGAGAACGTTGACGCTAGGCCTGCTAGGTTTTGACCTGCCTTCTTCATTCACGGCCATTACTCGCCATTGATATTCGTCACCTTCTTTTAAGTTTCCGACCTAAAATAAAATTTAAGTTCAGACGACGGTCAGTGCATTTAAAAAGTAAAATAGTGTATTACCGTGCATAAAGTGGAGTAAATCGTAGGGCAGTCTACTTCCTTCCAATTGGAATCCCCCTTATTTTTCTGTTCCAACACGTACTCTTTGATTTTTGCCCCTCCGTCAAACCTTGGTGGACGCCACGATAGTACAACGCTATCTTTCGTGATTCTGTCTGGTTTTGGAGCCTCGGGAGCTTCTGGTACTTCTGCAGAAGCAAAGTAATTCCGTTAATAGTTGTGTTATAGGAATAATAAAGCAAAAGTAATGTTTACTCTTTTGTTCTTTAGCCGTCATAGGATTGCTGGGTTTGCTAGGTTTGCCGGTACCGGCTTCGTTGACTGCCATCACACGGAACTCGTAGCGATTACCTTCTCTTAGGTCTTGAGCAGTAAAACTAGTGTTCGAAGTAGGGAAATTGTTGCACTTCACCCAGTCGCCACCTCTTTCACGTTTTTGAACAATGTAACCTATAGAAAAAAATATTGACGTATAGAATAATACTCATTATTGAGTGAATGCACTTATTTTTACCTGTTATTGGTCTTCCACCGTTATTTAAAGGTGGTGTCCAGCAGAAACTACAGCTGTTCGGAGTATAATGAGTGACTTCTGGTTGTCCAGGAGCGTCGGGTGGATCAAATGGACTTTTGGCGACAACGGGAAGACCTTCTAGTGGTTCTGACAAACCATACATATTTTCTGCTCGCACTCTGAATACATAACGTTTTCCTTCATGTAGACCCTTCGCTGTAAATGTAGTATTAGGACAAAATCCGGGTATTGGTTTCCAACTGTCTGTCCCAAATTCGGATATTTCAACGACATATCCTGTAAAACGTTACCCCGATTTTATTCCATGAGGTATTTCTTTAGATACTTATTATTTGTACACATAATTCATATGTTATTTGTAGACAAGTACAAGATTGCAATACCTGTAACGTCATTACCACCATCGTCTTCAGGAGCTCTCCAAGCCAACGTGACTGAGTCATGCGTTGTTCCAGCGTAGTGCAATGGTCCTTGGGGTGCTGTGGGACAGCTGACTACTGAAACGTATATGTCTGCCGAGTCTTTACCGGACGAGTTGGAAGCCGTCACTGTGTACTTTCCAGCATCTTTGCGCGTCGAATTGTCCACTCTTAATTTGGTCAAGTTGCTTCCGGTTACGGACTAACGATTACAAAACTCGTTACAGTCGAAAATCGTATAATAGATTATAAACAAATCAGAAGGCACTCACGAGTATACGGTTAGTCACGGGTGGTGTTTCGCCGTTTATGGTCCATTCAATGTTGGGTGTCGGTGCACCTGATATAGGTATGCTTATGTTGATCGGTTCACCGGCTCTTACCTTCAACCGACCACCCATTAAAGCGTCCAAGTGCAATTTTGGTTTTTCTCTGGTTAGTTTTGCCGTGTAAACATCGGAAATGTCACTAGGCTTTCCAGAACCGGCGGCGTTCACAGCACTAACACGGTATTCGTATTGTTTGCCTTCGTGCACGTGAGTGTCGTCGTATTCGGTTTGCTATAAAGAGCGTGAAAATTCATAATTAATACGAGCTTGTAAAATAATATTTTTAGATACAATTACCTTAACCGGAGACCTGGTTATCTTAGCCCACCGGCCGGCCGAAGAGCGTTCCCTTCTTTCCACATCGTATCCAACAATTGGCGAACCTCCGTTGCTCATTGGAGCAGTCCAAACGATTTTGATGTGCTCTTGGTCGACATCTAATGCTTCAGGCTTGCTTGGTTTACCAGGAACGTCTACACATAAAACAATTTGTTGTGTTTAAAATTTGCCCGAAAACTGACTAAAAGTTCGGCGTGGCTCAACTAACCGAATTGGTTCTTAGCGATGATCGGTTCAAGTGTTGTGAGTGGTTCGGACATTCCTTGTAAATTTTCTGCGCGAACTCTGAACTCATACCGGGTGCCTTCAATCAATCTTGGCACGGTAGCATGTGTGAATGCTGGGTTAATGTATGTTACAGCCGGTACCCATCCACCACCATGTGTTAGATCTCGTTTTTCAATTACGTAAGCTCTGTAACAAACAACTTGAGTTAAATATAAAACGTTTGGAATTATTAAGCTAAATAATTGCGTACGTCAGTTCACTTCCGCCATTGTCTTTTGGAGGTTTCCAAGACAAAGTAACCGAGCCGGCGGTAATATCTTCGTAGGCCAAGGGTCCATCGGGCGGTCCTGGCCGATCTGTTCACAAAAATATTGTAAATAAAACAAGGGTTTGAAGTTAATTATTTTGAATAATCTTACCCAAAACGGTAACGTTAAACGACCCTTCATCAGTACCAGAATCGTTTTTCAACAGTAGGTTATAAACTCCAGAATCTGATCGTTTTGAATTCACTCTGTTCATGATCGTATGATAACCAATGGACGTGATTGTAGTTCGGTTATCTGGTTTAAGTTCTGAACCATTAAGCGTCCATGTTACATCTGGAGGCGGTTCGCCGACGAAATCAATGTCGACGTGTAACACTGTACCGGCTCTTATAAACAGGTCCTTTAGCGGCGTCTTAATTTTGGGTTTCACTAAAAAGTATAATTATAGTATTATTAATCAAGTGTTAGATAATGTACTGACAAAAAACTGCTTACAATGTCTGTGCTTAACGATAACTGGATCGGATGGATCACTAGGCGGACTAGGGCCAGCCTTGTTGTTAGCAATAATTCTGAATTCGTATTCTTGTCCCTTGAACAAATCGGGAACGGTGGCCTGCAACAAAACCATCAACACCGTATAATCGAATAAACCAAACTATCACAACAACGGTTACCCGTACCTTAGTTTCCCTGCCTGGCACCGTAAGAGCATTAACCCAATACGGACTACCCTTTTCTTTTTTCTGTACTACGTAGTCTGTAACGGGGCTGCCACCGTCATTCTTTGGCTTTTCCCATTGGAGTTCGACGAAGTTCTCATCCCAATCCGTAACAACTGGCTTTTCTGGTGCTTCTGGTTCATCTAAAACGGTAACATAATAGGAGTAATACGCGAAAGTAAATTAGATTTTTATTAGAAGCATAAAACAAATAAATGATGAATTCTAAAAGTTTAGGATGTTTTTCAGCTGGTTAAAATTGAAGAATGAATGTGAAGGTATAAATAAAAAATAAATAATCATTAGATTTCTTACAAATTATTAGGGTTTTAATTATATAACTGTAGTTTAACCACCTACCGAATTCGTTACGAGCTATTGTAGATTTGTCAGTTTCGAGTACATCCGACTCGCCGATATTATTTACGGCTTTCACCCTAAATAAGTATTCTCGCTTGTGGATCAATCTGATCACGTCGTGGAATAATGAAGTCGTCATTCCGGCGTCTGACCAAGTACCTCTGGAAATGTCCATTTTTTCGATGACGTAATGCAAAATTGGTGCTCCACCGTCATCGACCGGTTGTTTCCACGTCAGACGACATCCGTCTTTCCTAACGTTGGAGACATCCAATGGACCTACAGGTGGTGACGGACGGTCTAAGAACAAAATAAAACATTGTTAATATTTTCAGTTGACAATTGTTGTGTAGTAAATAATTACCAAGTACGGTGACATTAGCAGACGCTGAACATTTTCCCAAATCGTTTTCCAACGTTAACGTGTATCGTCCGGTGTCACTGCGTTGCGAGAACGGTATTTCGAATATGACCTGAGCGTTGTAAATTTGAATGTCAATCCTGGGATTATTGGTCACTTGCAATTCATTGATGCTCCATTTGACCGATGGTCTAGGAGCCGCTTCGATTGGAACGGTGTAATTGATTTTGTTACCGGCCCGTACGATGAGGTCAGGTAAGAATGTCGAGTCAATAACCGGTTCCACTAAATAAAACAAGAAAATCGGTATGATAACAAAAAAAAATTCACAAGAAAATGTCACATTGACTTACAGAATTTTGGTTTACACGTGATAACGGCTGATGGCTCACTGGGTTCACCGGGGCCACCTTTGTTAACGGCAATAACTCGGAACTCGTATTCATGACCTTCGCTTAAATCTGGTATCGAAGCCTTGGTCTTCTTTCCGTTCACAGTAGCGGCTTTCTCCCATGGTCTACGAGAGTAAAACAATAAAGAGTCGGTTTAATATTCAGTGTGTTTAAAGCACTGTTAACTACATTAAAGACATCAGCTACATTAAACAATTACATTTTTTTAAAATCAAACTTTAACTGAGAGAGAAACAATTAAGTTATTAAATCGATTATTGATACTCAATCATGAACTGTCGCCATCTCATGTAAGAGTCGGACCATAGTCGAGTGGACGTAAGGTAAACGTAGGTATACACAAATTATATTATTTATTTACCCGTATTTTTCTCGTTTCTCAATGACGTATTGCGTTATTTCAGATCCACCATCTTTCTTTGGTGGTGTCCATTCAAGGTCGACAAAGCTCTTGCCCCAATCTGTTTAAATCGAAAGATTTGTGAAATGTCAAAAAAATGTAAGTACAACTAAAAATAACTTACCCGTGGCTACTGGCGTGCCCGGTTTGTCCGGTTTTTCATACGGGTCTTTAGCAGTTATACCATCGAACGTGTTTAGTGGTAAGGATTCACCAATTTTATTGACAGCCCTTACTCTAAAGTTGTAGTTGTGTCCTTCAATCAAGTGGTCGGCTCTGAAGTATTGATAACGTCGTCAGTAACCGTCAAGTGTCGTAAATATTTTATACCAAAATTTTATTCAGGAATATACCTTAATGAAGTTCCAACAGCTTCTCCTACCGGGACCCATCTAGCAGTGTCAGCGTCCATTTTTTCAACCGTGTAATGCGTTATTTCCGATCCACCGTCGTCCTTTGGTGGATTCCATTTGAGAACACATGAGTTCTTTGTCACGTCAGTAGGATGTAGTGGTCCCTCTGGTGGTTGTGGTACATCTACGTAACGATTTAACATTTAGCAGTGTATACTACAGTGTATTTTAAAAACACATTTATTTGTTCACAACGTACCGATTACGGTTACTTTGACTTGAGCCTTATCCATTCCGTGAATATTTCTGGCCACCAAAATGTAGATTCCGTCGTCTGATCGTTTGGCATCAAGTACTTTCAGTTTTGTCGAATAGTCTTGGTTGCTTATACTTATGTTGTCTGTTTTTAGCAGCACGTCTCCCTTGAGCGACCATTCTTTTGTTGGGGGAGGCTCTCCAGAAACTTTAACGTCGAATTCGAACATGTTTCCAGCCCGAACTTTGATATCCGTAAGAGTGTTTCGATCAATATGGGGAGCCACTGAAAAAATTCATTTGTTCAAACGTGCATATCTCGTCAGAACGATATCCGTTAATAGAAATCATTCATTTTTTATAAATTTTAGCTTACGTTTTTTAAGTCTTGCCGTGTGAGTCGGAGTCGCTTCACTCGGTTCTCCTGGACCTGCTTTATTTACTGCGCGTACTCTGAATTCGTATTGGTTGCCTTCTGTTAAACCGGGTACAATTCCACTATTTTTGTCTTCGACTACTTCAGCCGCTTTGACCCAATTAGGGCTATTATAAGGATTAAAAACCGTTACAACACTATTAATGACAATGTACTTATGTACGCTTAAATTAGTTTTTACAAATAACAAATAATTTTTTACCTGTATTTGTCCTTCTTTTCAATGATGTAGCCTGTGATTGGTGATCCTCCATCAGATTTTGGTTTGTCCCATTCAAGCTCAACGAAATCACTATCGAAATCTTTGACAACAGGGTTTGACGGACGACTAGGTGCATCTTAAATCATATTTCAGCATTGAAATAGTAAGTAAAATGATTTAAGTGAAGTAGTCGTTACGAATTTTAAATTGTACAATAAATTATCTATTAATAAAATGTTACCGAATGGGTTTTTAGCTTCAATGCTTTGGTTAGCAGTCAACGGATCCGATTTGCCTTGTTTGTTTACAGCCTTTACTCTAAACTTGTATTTGTGTCCAGGTATTAAATCTTTAATGTCAAAGTTTGTTTCTGGTCCATCGGTCTCTCCAGCAGGCACCCAACGTCCTGTGGCTTCGTCCATTTTTTCTACGATATAGTTCTCAATAGGTTGACCGCCGTTGTCTTCCGGTGGTTTCCACGCGAGTTTGCAACCTTCTGCGGTTACGTCGGACACCTTTAATGGACCTTCTGGTGGGCTGGGTTTGTCTGCAAAATAATATGTTTAAGTGACTGACACGTTTTTATTTTATAAATATAATTTTAACTGGGATATGTTTTAGGGCTAGGGGTCAATGTTTTCCAATGAAGTGGAGAAAATGTTGAAGATTTTTCCTCACCGAGAACAGTTACTTCAGCGTATGCGGTATCTTTTCCGTTTATGTTTTCAGCTGTTAGAGTATAAGTTCCAGAGTCTTCTCGGGTAGCATTACGAATTATCAGTTTGGTATTGTAGTCTACATGCGTTTGTTTAACCCCATCGCCCGTCCGAATGTCCCTATGATTTTTAACCCATCTGGTTTTCGGAACAGGTTCGCCAGTAACCTAAATGGATAAATAAAACAATTACAATACTATTCTGATATATTATTGAGTTTACTCACTTTGATATCGAAACTTATGGTTTGTCCTGCTTTAATTTTGATATCGTTCAGGTTTGTGCGGTCAATATGAGGGGCTAAGTTACGTGGTTTGGTAACGATAGTTTGGGTCGGATCACTTGCCTCTCCAGGCCCAGCAGCGTTTACGGCTCTCACTTGGAACTGATACGGTTCGCCTTCCATTAGGCTAGGAATCGTGCACGTAGTTAGGCCAGCCGGCACCGTAAGAGCTTTCTCCCACGTTCCAGATTTGTCTTTCACCTCCACTACGTATCCCGTAATGGGTGAACCACCGTCATCCTTTGGTGGTATCCATTTAAGATCGACAAAGTTCTTGTCCCAATCTGTCACTTCCAAATTGCCCGGTTTACCGGGTTCATCTGATATAAAAAAAAAATTGGTGTAAATATATTATTTTTAAATTATCATTTACTAGTGAAATGTAACTGTAGTTTACCGTAAGGATTTTTAGCGATAATCGATTCTGTTGCTACTAACGGCTCAGATTCACCTTCTGCATTGACTGCCGTCACGCGGAATTTGTACTCCTTACCCGGCGTCAAGCTGTTCACCGCAAGTGCTACACAGATCGAGTTAAAGTATACTTTTGTTAATGGGGATTCTGCTGTTGATTCTTTGGAATATTTACCAGTATCAGGGGACCGACCACACGGTATCCAACTACCTTTCTGCACATCGAATTTCTCTACCAAATAGTACTCGATAGGAGTACCACCGTCGTCTTCTGGTCTCTTCCAGTTTAGTTGGCAACCGTCTTTGTGTACGTCGGAAACTTGAAGAGGTCCAATTGGTGGAGTTGGTTTGTCAGTTACTACAACGTTAATGGTAGCAGTGTCTTTGCCAGAACTGTTTATTGCCGAAACCGTGTATTGTCCGCTATTAGCCCGATTTACAGGACGAATTACTAGTTTTGTATAATAATCCACTATTTCTAGGTGGACGTGTGGTTCGGATCTACAAAAAAACGTATCGTTAAATTATTTTCTTCATTTATTAACCACAATTTTTATTTGTCACATTTACCTTAACGGCATGGCTCCGCATCTCCAGTCGACATGTGGTGGCGGTTCACCAGTAATTACTGCATCTAACTTTAAGGACGACCCTGCCGATATTTTTACATCCTGCAAGTTACGTCGATCAATATGTGGAGCCACTGAAAAAAATTTTTTTTTCATAAACATCTTAATCATAATATGTTATGTTCATAATGTGTACTCACAGAATCGGGGTTTCGCAATGAAGTTTGCACATGGTTTGCTCGGTTCACTTTGACCAGCTTTGTTCACAGCAACAACTCGGAACTGGTACTCGTTTCCTTCGACTAATCCGTTAACAGTTCCCCGTGGTTCTTCATTGATTGTTTCTCCAGCTTTTTCCCATACAGGACTAAAATAAAATGTTTAATCGTTAAACAATTTCGTATAGTTTCGTTTAAAAGTATAGTACCTGTATTTATCTTTTTTTTCAATTATATAATGAGTGATCGGAGTTCCGCCATCGCTAAACGGTTTTTTCCATATTAGTTCAGCGTGGTTTTGACTCCAATCATTGATTTCTGGAGCACCAGGTGTTTCAGGATTTGCTAAAATAAAAAAAAAATTGAATAAAATGGTCTGTTTCAACAATTGGAAATGAGATACTTACTGAACGGGTCTTTGGCAACGATGGTAGATGAGGTTTCAAGGGGTTCCGACTCGCCTTGACCGTTAAGAGCCTTGACGCGGAATTTATATTCATGTCCCGGAATAAGACCATTAACTTGCATTTCTGGGTCTTTTGTGCGTCCTACTGGTAACCATATTCCGTTCTCAGGATCGAATTTCTCCACCAAGTAGCCTTCCAACGGTTCTCCACCGTCGTCCTTTGGTTTTTTCCACTTCAATGTGCATCCGTCTTTATTTACGTCTGACACTTCTAACGGACCTTCGGGCTTGCTGGGCTTAGCTGAGAATAATATGACAAGTATAATAAATTAATACGCTTTTGTGATATTTGTTTAAATTCGCTGTACTCACCGAGAACAGTGACTTCCACTTCTTCCTCATCTTCTCCGTATTTATTAGTAGCAATAATCTTGTAAACTCCCGTATCGCTTCTCGTGGGATTAGCGTGATAAAACTTGGTATTGTAAGGCACGTTATCGATTTGGTAAATACTGTTTGTACGAATCTTTGAGTTGTTGAATCTCCATTCAACGTCAGGCGCCGGTTCTCCGGAGACTTTTACATCGAAAGATATTGGCTCACCTTCACGGATGGTTAGTGATTTGAGATTGCGACGATCAATTTTTGGGGCCACTAAAAAAAAATGGCATGAAATATATAATGCAAATGTAAAATTTACTTTAAACGTACATTTTCTTGGTTTGGGCACTATGGATGCGCTCGGCGGACTTGGGTCTCCTTGTCCGGCCTTATTTACTGCCCTCACTCTAAATTCATACTCTACTCCTTCTTCCAAGTCCTCGGCTCGTCCTTTGGTCACAGGTTCTTTGTTCTCGCCTGCTTTCATCCAGCGTGACGTTCCTTTTTCTCGTTTCTCGATTACGTAACCAGTAATGGGGGCTCCACCGTCGTTGATGGGCGGTTCCCACTCTAAGTCGACAAAATCTTTGTCCCAGTCGGTAATTTTCGGTGCAGTGGGTGCGTTTGGTTCGTCTGAATGAATAAAAATAGAAATGAATAAAGCACAAATCAAGTAACGTGCTTTCTAAGAATGGCTTACCGAACGGATTTTTGGCAATAATCGAGTGATCGGCAGTTAATGGTTCAGATTCGCCCTCGGAGTTGACCGCAGATACTCGGAACGTATACTCTTGACCAGGTATCAAATTTGACACAGTTAGGTTTGGTTCTTTGCTTCTTCCGGCCGGTACCCAACGACCTATAAGAGAACAAAATAATTAAAATAAAAATATCGTAGATATTCGGTTTCTTCAGCAAACATACCGGTTTCGGCGTCCATTTTTTCTACAACGTAATGACTGAGCGGCACTCCGCCATCATCTTCCGGTGGGTTCCATTTCAACGTACATCCTTCTTTGTGCACATCTGATATTTTTATTGGTCCCTCCGGTTTTCCTGGTTTGTCTGTACATAGAATGTAAACAAACTTCATTATTTAAAGCATAATATATAATTTTATAGTTCAATTTTTTTATACGAACTATACATTACGAATTTTCGTGCACTTAACAAAAATGTCATACCTAACACTGTGATATCGAATGTGGCTTCGTCTTTGCCGGAATCGTTTTCCGCTTTGATCACATACGACCCGGTGTGAGACCTATCCGCCACAGATATTGATACTTTAGTCCGATAATCCTCGTATTCCACGTTAAAGTTATCTTTGCTATCTAAGCGCGCTTTGTTATGATACCACACTTTAGTTGGAGGCGGTTCTCCACTGATTTTCACATCAATTTTCACGTGTTGTCCAGCCTTCAACGTTAAATTTTTTAACGTACTTCTATCGATAACAGGTGGCACTGTAACGAGACAATGCAAAATGCGTTAAATAGCAAAAAAAAACCATAAAAATAACGTTAATGAAATTTTATTTTAAATGTTTTTATTTTTACAAACAATTCAGTCAAATAGGCTCAACCGATTAAAACCATAATAATGTCACTTTGAGGCTGTACACCATATTTTGTTTTGTTTTCTTATAATTCATAAAATATCTCGAATATTAGACATCCACTGATTTGGTTTTGTTGAAATTAACAATAAGTAAATAATATTTTGTTGTATTTAGAGTTGAGCAGTAGGGTTTCTAATTATTGTAAAAGGTTAGATTATTACATAGTAAGCGTAATAGTAGTGGTGTAATTCGGCGAACGTAAGTTTCTAAACGGTTATTTTTTAGATAAGTTAGTTCCTATATAGTAGAAAAATTGAATTATGTTAGTTCTTACACGGTACGGTGGTGTTAACTCAAACGATATAAAGTATAAATAACTGTATACTATAGGGATCGGTACTCATTTGGTCTACGTTGGCTAACCATTTAATTTGCCAATTTATATCTTTTACTAGATTGTATTGTTTACATAATTGTTCAGTCTTCAACTGTTTTATTGTATTTAGGGTCCTACTGTATAAGTCTTGTAAAATCTTACCATTTCTATCTTTAGTGACTACTGGATCACTAGGCTCACTGGGTTTACTCATACCACCCTTATTTACGGCGATCACGCGGAAAGTATATTTCATGTTTTCTGCCAAGTCGGGAACTCGGCCATCGCATTTGTTTCCAATCAACTCCGTAGCCTTTTGCCATTTTGAGCTAAACACAGAAAGTGTCATTTGTGAACAAGAAATTTCTCGGCATTTTTCTGTTGCATTGCAATGGTTTTACCTGTATTGGTCTTTCTTTTCAATTATATATGAAGTGACTGGTGCTCCGTTTTCGGAAGCTGGCGGTGTCCATTTCAAGTGCACACTGTTTTTGTTCCAGTCTTTGGCGTAAGGTTTCCCTGGACGGTCGGGTTCATCTATAAATTAAAAAAAACATGCAATTAAGAATTTCAATGGACCAGCATTCAATTCGTTATGGATTTCGTACTGTATGGGTTCTTGGCCACGATTCCAAAGTCGGTTTCTAATGGTTCGGAATCCCCTTCAGCATTGACGGCTTTAACACGGAACAAATACTCTTTTCCCTCGTGTAGGCCTGTCACCTCGGCCTCAGGCAGTTTAGACACGCATACCGGAACCCATCTGCCTGTTTCAGTATCCATTCGCTCCACAACATAATGGTCAATTGGAACACCACCGTCATCTTCCGGTTTCTCCCATTTTAGTTCACATCCGTCGGCGGTCACCTCGGATACCTTAAGCGGTCCTTTTGGTTTGCTAGGAGCGGCTGTAACGTAATGAAAAATAAATAATAGTCTAGGTGTGTTAGAAACCACAGCATGGGTTAAATGAGAATCTTGCAACAGCTTCAGTTAGTTAGATGGGGTTTTTTTTTATCAGTCATTAATACACTTACTGAGAACGATGATCTCGACTTCGGCTTTGTCAGTACCAGAATCGTTCTTAGCCGTTATTGTGTAAATACCCGAGTCGGTGCGTTTAGCTTTTTGCAGTATAAATGTGGTCTTGTAGTCTTCGCTTTCAATGGTCAGTCTAGATGCCAAAATAATTTGTGGTCAATAATGAGAAACAGATAAATTGTACACGGTAAGTATGTATTTACCTATCATTGAATAGTATCGGTTGCCCGTTGAACGCCCAAGTTATAGTGGGCGCGGGTTCTCCTTGAACGTCTGCCTCAAACTTCAAGAACTTCCCTCTACGAACTTCCTTCTTATTCAAATTCTTACGGTCGATTTTAGGAGCCACTGGAAATAAAGAAACGCAAATCGTTATGAGCAAAGTTTAAATAGTTTAAAACTTTATGACAAAACTTACTAAATCGAGGTTTGGCAACGACCGATTTTGAAACGTCACTTGGTGGACTGGGTCCGACTTTATTAACAGCCACCACTCTAAATTCATATTCGTGGCCTTCAACAACGTCCGTCACACGACCAACAGTTCTGTTAAAAATAAGTACATTAAGCATTTTAGCAACATACAAAAATAATGCATATTTAAAAATTAAGTTTAAACATAAATAATAAAAAGGTTATAGTCGTTTTATGGTATTGGGTTATACCGGTTACCATTATGGAAGGTTATACAATATGTTTATGGGATTGGCATTGTTGTGCAAATTCTTATTCGAAAAAAATGAATTTGAATTATTTTATCTTTAATGCGTAGCTGAGAAGGTATTGTTTTTACAAAGACGCGTTTTTATTTATTTATTTTTTTTTGTATCTGGACTCACGATATCTTCTAAGCCGCTGAACCTAATTTTTTATGTAGCAACTTTATAGATCAGAGGAAAATTTAGAAAAAAGCCCAAAAAAATGTACATATTTTTCAACTTAAAATTACAGAATTTAATGGAATATTCATTACCAAAACTAAAAATACTTTTGAAAAACGTTGACAACCAAAAAAATATTACAAAAACCTCTTTTTCTAAACTTAATTATTTGTTTTTGAGCTTAGTTTTAGGTCTTTATATGTGAAAATTATACTGAAAGTAGATCTAGTGTGAGGCGTATCATAAACAATTTTCTCAAAAATGTAAAGTCATCATTTTTTTATTAAGGAAAAACTGAAAACACGGGAAAAATTACACTTTGACGGTAATATATTTCTAGGCTGCTATATTAAAGTGAATCAACGGGTATCCAAAAAATATGTTCATTATTTTGTTATTTACGATATCATATCCACCCTAATATTAAAAATACAACTTTAAGTACATTATTGACTATGATTTTATATATAACTACAGATACGCATCGAAGCGTTTTTTTTTAAAGTGATTTTATCACTTTCAGTTAAAAAAATTCTAAAGATCTGTGACCTCCGTTGATATATGCTCTGCCCTGGACTCGAACCCAGCTGAACTGGCTTTTTTTTTACAATTGTAATAAAAATAATAAGTGATTAGTACTATTCTAGCATAGCTAAATTGAATAGGAAAAGGAAAAAATAACAAACTATTTTTATAAAGTGTATCTAATGTGTAATCAAATATAGCATTAATAGCAAATAGCAAATAATACTCTAAATACATAAGATGAATATTTGTTTTATAATATTAAATATGGTATAATAATATTGAAACTCAGTATTTATTTTTCCGTATCATTAGAATCTAATTTACATATATTTTAGTTATATACCTAAGCTATATCCCTTATAACCAGTGCACAAGTGAAACAAAATAGTCATGTGTCGATGTTAAGTGGCATTAATAATCTAAAGCTAAAATTGACCATTTAAAATGTGTAAATGTTAAATTTCATAGACAATCTGCCAATTAATCGTATCTAATCGTATCAATTTGATATTTGTATTATACACAAAATCACAACTTTGTAGTAATAAGGTATTTTTAAAAAAAATCGATTTTTTAAAAATTTTCTTAAAAATATTTATTTTTCTATTGATATTATTTTGTATTTATATTTTACGTATAGAATCATATATCAAATTTAAAACAAATAATATTTTTAAAAAGTTCCGAATAATTATTTTTGAAATAGTTTAAATAATTTTCACTTGAATATAATGTGTTAGTTAAAAGATTTGTTTTAAGATTTTTTTTTAACAATGCACAACTATCCATCGTACCCTTAAAAAAATTTATATTCAGAATTTATGATTATTGCGAAATCTGAGTAATATAAAATTACTTACTTATTAGGGACGGTCAAAACTGGTACCCAATTTCTGTTGTCATCCTTATCTCTCATTTCCACAATGTATTTCTCAATAGGTGCTCCACCATCAGATTCTGGGGGAGACCATTCGAGATCGATGAATGATTTATCCCAATTAGTCGGCAATGGTTTGCCTGGCTTGGTCGGTTCGTCTGTGAGAAAACATAGAGAACAACAAGAAAACGGTTGTTAACAAAAAGGCTTTAACACTTTCCAATCGATTTGCTTACCAAACGGATTCTTGGCCACGATGAACTTGTCGGCCTCCAGATCATCTGATTCGCCTTCTTTGTTGACCGCCCGTACGCGGAATTTGTACTGTTTACCTTCTTGTAACCCGGTAATGTTGGCTTCGGGTTCGCTGGATTTACCGCACGGTATCCATTGCCCAGTTAGTGGATCTAACTTCTCGATCTCGTAGTATTCGATCGGAGTTCCTCCGTCGTCTTCGGGTTTATTCCATTTGAGTTTGCAACCGTTCTTGGTCACGTCCGTTACCTCCAGAGGTCCACCCGGTTTTGTCGGTTTGCCTGGATAAACAGATTTTCAGATCAGCGATTATTTCTTTTGTCTTTTCAAGCTAAAATTGAATAGTCGGTGCCTATTAGATATTTGTGGTTATTGGAATAATACCTAATATTGTTATGTCGAATGTTGCTGTGTCTTCGCCGACAGAATTTTTAGCCGTGATCAGATAAACGCCGCTATGAGCGCGCTTTGCCTTAACAATCATTAGCTTTGTGTTGTAGTCCATGTTGGTGATTTCCAGCGAATTGCCGGTGGACAAAATCTAAAAGTGTTTCAAGCCAGTTATCAGTAATTGTTACTTATAGAACTAAGTAACTTGAGTAATTAAAATTAAATTAGATTGAATGGAAAGCTCGCAATTTATATTAAAATTTTAAAAAAACGGTGCGCTAATTATGGAGGTAGTTACTAAACGTTGCTTACAGATTCCTTAAACGTCCAAGTAACAACTGGAACGGGTTCGCCACTAATATTGACGTCGATCAGTTTTGTATGTCCGACTTTCATAACCAAATTTTGTAAATTAGTCCTATCTATTCTTGGTTTTACTGTAAAAGACAAACAAAAGTTATGGCTGTGTCATAACTAGTTGACCGAGTTCCTTACGGAATTTCGCTTTGGCCGTGTGTAGCAAAGACTCTTCACTAGGTTCACCGGGTCCGGCTTTGTTAACCGCTCGCACTCTGAACTGGTACTGTTGTCCAGGTTCTAATTTTGGGACTTTGCCCTTGCAAACATTTCCAACCACTTCAACAGCTTTTACGAAAGATGGATCATATTTACTCTTCATTTCGATTATGTATCCTAAATTTTTTATTTTTTTTAAATTATTGTGACAAAAACAAATATTACAAAAGTATTTTTATCATATGAGTGGTTCTAGTGAACGGCGTCGTGTACTGACCAGTTATAGGTGCTCCACCGTCTCTAAACGGTGCGTCCCATTTTAAATCTACTGAATTTTCGTCATAATCTACGATTTCTGGTAATCCTGGAGCTGCGGGAGCATCTGTTTATAAGAAAACGTAAAAAAGTGTTTAATTACTTTTAATCGTATAAAAATTAATGTAAATAAAAAATTATTTTTGCGGATCATGACAATGTTTTAGGCCTACACAGCATACAAAAAAATTTTTTTTATATCTCTCGTACCGTATGGATTTTTGGCGAGTACGGTAGCATCCGTTTCCAACGGTGCCGATTCTCCTTCTTCGTTCATTGCTTTTACGCGGAAGTTGTACTTTCTGTTCGGCTCGAGACCGTTGATTTGGTGTTCTGTCTTTGTTGGATCCACGAAGCCGGCCGGCACCCATTTGCCTGTAGTCGTATCCATTTTTTCGACTAAATACCCAGTGATCGGCAGTCCACCGTCGTCCTTTGGTTTGTTCCAGTGTAACTTACAGCCCTCTTTGTGCACGTCAGTAACTTCAAGAGGACCTTCCGGCGGAGACGGCTTGTCTGCGCAAACATAACAGCGAAGTTAAGAAAGGTTTTCCCAGTTTGTTTAATAACGTGCTCGAAAAATAATCATTATTTACCTAAAACAACTACGTCTACTGTGGCTTCGTCGAAACCGGACGCGTTTTCAGCCCGTAATGTGTAAATTCCAGAGGTCTTTCTGGTGTTGTCGGACAGCACCAATTTCGTGTTATAGTCTTCGTTTTCTATTTTCACTGTACGTTCTGGCGTCAGTGGTTTGTTTCCGAATGACCACGTCATAGTCGGTGGAGGTTCGCCACGGACGTCCACGTCGAATTTCACTACTTGTCCAGCCCTCACGACGACTTTTTGCATTTTCTCGCGGTTTATCAATGGTTTCACTAGCCAAAATCAAACCACCACAGTTATATTTATTATTGTCAATTCACAAAAACACATGACTTACAGTTCTTGGCCTTGGCTGTGTGCATTTTGGTTGCGTCGCTGGGTTCTGACGGTCCAGCTTTATTTATTGCCCGCACTCGGAACTGATACTGGTGGCCTTCTTTTAGGTTTTTTACTGTTGCTTGGCACGCTGGTGTCTAAGAAAACGGGGAAAAAAATTAAATACACACCAGAATACAGGGTGAAATAAATACATACTTTAGTAGTTAAAATTTCATCCCAAACGGTAGACAACTTGTCCTTTTTCTCGATCACGTACCCGGTAATGGGCGCGCCACCGTCGTTTTTCGGTTCGGTCCATGTTAGGTCAACTCTGTCCACGTCCCAGTCGGCAATTTTGGGCGTGCCTGGCTTGCCAGGAATTTCTGTACGAAGAATATTAGCCAACGGATTATTAGTTATACTTAGGTCTCGGATTTTTGACACTTACCGTAAGGGTTCTTGGCGACAATGGTGCTTTCCGTTTCCAGAGGTTCAGACTCGCCTTCCTCGTTCATGGCTTTCACCCTGAACGAGTATTCGTGACCTTCCTGTAAACCTTTTATATCCATTTCCGGTTCTTGGACCCGGCCAACCGGAACCCAACGTCCTGTCTGTGCGTCCATTTTTTCGACCACGTAAGCCGTCACTGGTTTGCCGCCATCGTCCTTGGGTTTGTCCCACTTTACTTTAGCGCCGCTGGCTGTTACTTCTTTCACTTTAAGCGGACCTTCCGGTCTGGTCGGTGGACCTGAGTAAAGCAAAAGGTGAATTGATTAAAATTCATTGGACTGTTAACGTTACCGTCTATTACAAACGTACAAAGAACCGTAACTTCCACGGTTGCTTCGTCTTTTCCAAAATCGTTTTCGGCAATGATTTTATATACGCCAGAGTCTTTACGGACCGTGTCCGATAATGTGATTTTCGTATTGTACGGAACGTTCACGATCTGCACGTTTCTTTCTGATACGACCTGATGATCGTAGAATTACACAAATTAACAAACAATAAAAAAAGTAATTATTATTTTGGATTTCGTACTATCTACAACAATATTAACTACAGAAAACGCAAGTCTCGTCGTCAGAAAACTATCTGAATAATGACAATTCAAAATTACAGATTGTTTCATCAAAGCGACAACATAACAATAATTTTACATTGTGTTATTATTATTCACTGAATCATTATTTGGTTCAAGTAGTGAATAAAATACAAATCTACATTTTATTACCATTAAATCTACCGTACGCACACTAATCATAACTACTTATACAAAACACAACACTAAGTACTAAAAGATTTCAACATTTTATTAATACTAAAAAAGTAATCAAATCTACTGATTTAGTAATCTAAAATTTCCTAAAATTAGGAATTTATAAATTTATATTAGATTAACTACGAGGTACTTTAATTATTGAGAAATATATTATCATATAAAAAAACCGACGTCTTAAAAAAAATTTGTTTCACAAATCTACTAAACCGCAATTAAAGCTCTTATAGCTTTATTAATAAATATTTATTTACTCACAGCCTTTAAAACTTGTTCAGTCTGAAATGTAAAATTTGTTTTTGAATAATGTGTTTTATATTATTTATTTTTATAACTAATTTTTTTTACAACTTTTTGTTTTCATACATATTTTAACTTGATTCAGTATTTGTAATAACTGTTACAAATGTGTAAAAAACGAAAATTTCACAAACCTCTTTGTTAATCAGCTCCCATTTGACTGTTGGAGCGGGTTCGCCTTTTATGTTGACGTCATACTTAACTGTCTTTCCACCTCTTACCACAACGTTTTTCAAATTTGTTCGATCAATTCTAGGTTTCACTGTAAAACGAAACATATACACGTTCAATTTAGCCAAATACCAATACTATTATTGTATGTTATACTTACATGATTTGTGTTTAACGATATGTAGTTTCGTCGGTTCTGATGCGGGCGATGGTCCCGCTTTGTTAACGGCTACAATTCGGAATTGAAGTTCTGATTTTTCTTTTAGATCCGGCACCTTAGCTTTTAACTCAGTAGCCGGCACTTCTAATGCGGGTTCCCAATCTTGTTTGAACCTAATAAAAGCACAAAATACAAGATATTATTGTCATTACTTGTTATCTCTGATTGGCATTATTTTCAAAAATTGCGTACCTGTCTTTTTTTTCAATTATATATTTCTCAATGGGAGCACCGCCGTCCTTTTCAGGAGCAGTCCATTTAAGTGTTACACTTTGGTTGTCGTAATCAACGATATCTGGTGTTCCAGGCTTCGACGGTTCGTCTGCAAAAAAACCGGTCGTTATTGACCGGTTCAACAAAATAGTCTAGAATTTATACTTACCAAATGGATTTTTAGCTATTATGGTCTTTGTCGTGGTCAAGGGCTCCGAATCTCCTTCTTTGTTGACGGCCGTCACTCGGAATTTGTACTCCTTTCCTGGTTCTAAATTGGTCACGTCACATTCGGGTTCTTTAACACTGTCCTTAGCCGGCACCTTGGCCACTCGCACCCATTTGCCAGTTGTCGTGTCCATTTTCTCCACTTCGTATTCGGTGATAGGGCATCCGCCGTCGTCTTCCGGTTTCTTCCACTTGACTTTACAACTCTTTTTGGTTATCTCCGTTACTTCTAGCGGCCCCTTCGGTGCACCAGGCTTGCTCAGCACCGTAAATTCAAGAGTTGCCTCGTCTTTGCCCGACGCGTTCTCGGCTATTAAAGTGTATACACCCGTGTCCTTGCGCAAGGCACCGGTTATTGTCAGCGTTGTCTGGTGGTCGACATTTTCGATCTTGACCCTCTCGTTGTTGACGACTGTTTCGTCTTTCAGTCGCCACGTCAGAGTGGGCGTCGGCTCTCCAGATACGTCTACTACCCACTTTTGATTTCTGCCCGCCTTGATCGTGATGTTTTTCATACCTTCTCGGTCGATTCTCGGTTTTACTGAAACAAAAACCAAATGTGGTCAAACGCGGATATGTGTATAGCAAATATATGTTTATATAATAATTAGCCAGCTTACGATTTCTGTGTTTGCACACGTGTGGCTCGGTCGGCTTGCTGGGAGATCCTGGACCCGCCTTGTTTACCGCTTTTACGCGGAACTGATACACCATTTTTTCTTTAAGTCCTTCGATTTTCACTTCCGGAGTGCCGTCTGCCGTTTTAGTCACTTCGCTCCAGTCCGTCGAAAATTTGTCTTTCATTTCGACCACATAGTGTGTGATCGGTCGACCACCGTCCGATTCCGGTTTCTTCCACTTGAGCGTTACGCTCTTGTTGTCGTAATCGATTATTTCTGGTTTTCCGGGCTCACCGGGTTCATCTATAACCGAACAATATTTAGTTTAGAGTTGAAAACAATATACGTATAACCTTAAAATACCATATGGATTCTTTGCAACAATATCCTCAGAGGTCTCGAGAGGTTCGGATTCTCCTTCTTTGTTTACCGCCTTTACTCTGATCTTGTACTTCTTTTTTGGAGTCAAATTGGTAACCTTAAATTCTACTTTATCTGGACCAGACTAAAAATACGGTTACCGATATTAGAATAGTTGACAGATTTAATGCTTTGTTCGTCTTACCTCTCCTGCGTTCACCCATCGACCGGTCTCTATGTCCATTTTTTCGATGATGTAACCTGTTATCTCTGAACCCCCGTTGTCTGATGGCTTTTGCCATGACACGGTAACGTGGTCAGCCCTAACTTCTTCGACTTTCAATGGACCCTTGGGTCTCAAAGGCTTGTCTGCGTAATGAAAAACATAAATATTGTTATTTAATACGCAACCGGTAAACTTTGTTTGTAACCTTACCTAAAACAATGACTTCGGCAGTCCGTTCGGCTGTACCAGAACTGTTTTTCAGTATCAACTTGTATTTTCCGCTATCGGCTCTCACTGCCCTTCGGACCGTCAATAAAGTATTGCGTTCATATTTGTCGATCGTTATTCTGTAAAAAAAACAGAACAAGTTAGATAGAACGAAAAAAGATACTGAAGCCTTAGTATAGTTTAAAGCCAAATTTTTCATAGGGTATTTTAAGAAAAATTGATTTTAAATCATTGATAGAACATTTTAAACTCTTCTACGCAGTACAAACAGTTTTGTAATTATTTTTTTAATATAAGGTTTGTAACTATTGTATTGTACGATCTCTCACCTGTCACCGTCGTGCTTGATTTGGTTTTCACCTATTTGCCAAATTACTTCTGGTTCAGGTTCACCTCCATATTTGATATCGTATTTGATCACTTGTCCCTTTTTGACGATTATGTTTTTCAAGTCGTCACCAATAATCCACGGTTTAACTGCACATGATAAAAGTGGAGATGTAAGTGGTTCACTTATAACAGCAGTAAAGATATCGAAACTTACCGAAACGCGATTTGGCGATAATAGGCTTCGTAGCAATACTAGGTTCACCTGGACCCGCTTTGTTGATGGCTCTGACTCGGAATTCATACTGGGTATTTTCCTTTAAGCCTTCAATCGTGGCCGATGTTATATCACCTTCGTAGACTTTGCTTTTAACCCAATCTTTTCCGAATTTTTCCTGGTTAATTGAAACATTATTGATTTATTTTTGTTTATCATTTTTAAAGCACCACGAGTTTACTTTGTATTCTATAATGTATCCCGTTATGGGAGCACCTCCATCGTTCTCCGGTTTCGTCCAAGTTAAATCCGCATGGTCTTTATCCCAGTCAACGACTTCAACGTTATTCGGTTTGCTGGGTTCGTCTGAAACACGAGTCATTTACACCATCGATTATACAAAATTCAACAGTAAAGGTATAATTTAGGACTATGTACCCCATGGGTCTTTAGCCAAAATGGATTTGGCCAACGGTGTTGGTTCGGAAGCACCAATTTTCGAAACGGCTCTTACGCGGAATTTGTATTCTTTTTTCGCTGTTAAGTCAGTTACGTCTAATGTGAGCGGTGAGTCAGCTTTAACTTCAGCAACGTTGTGCCATCCGCCTAAAACACATTTTTTCCGATTAAAAGCATGTCAACGAAAATAAAAAAAGGCGGCCGTTACATACCTTTAACAGATAAGTCCTGTCTTTCGACTAGGTAATGCACAATAGGAGAACCGCCGTTGTCCGCAGCTGGCTGCCATTTGAGTTTACAGCTGTTTTTCATAATATCAGATACTTCCAAGTTCAATGGTGGTGAGGGAACGTCTGTAATAATACAATATAATCACGTCCGTTAATTTTAGAACTCTAATCAAAAATGCTTTCAACACTAATTTCTTCATACCTTGCATGTTAATATTAACATCTTTGACATCTTCTCCTTGGTCGTTTTTGAGTTTTATCTGATATTTTCCAGAGAGCTCGTGAGCGGGTTTTTTAATGTTATAAATAATTTTATCGTCATGCACGATGATCTCCACGTCTTTAGGTGACAACGGTTTGCCGTCCTTTAAGAGTTTTGCATCTATAGTCGATTGTCTTGTACCGTTTACTAAAAATGGAATTGTTCGTTTATATAAAAACTGTGAATATAGTACGGGATTCATGATTACCTTTGTAAGGAACCTCGAAGGTTAACGGACGCGTCACGGGTCCTTCTATATTTTCGTCAAACGATATTACAGGCTTCTCTTCGCCCTTTTTCACATCTAACAAACATATGGATGTCAGGTCGTTGGATTTGCACATTATCTCACCGGCGTCTTTCATCTCCAACTTGTTGAATATTAGCTGATGTTTTCCACCGCCTAGATTTTTTATTTCGATTCTTAAACGAAACACCATATTAGTTAGTCAATAAAAACAGACAGATAAGTACTAACTACTGCTACTAGACTTACCTATCCGATGGCACAATGGGTTTATCATCAAAGAACCATTCGGCTGGAGCCGTCTGATCTTGAAGTTCGACTTCGAAGATACATTTCTCCCGCTCAATGCCTGTCGTATCTTTGAGTTTTTTGTTGAATTTGTTTTGGTCTGTAAATATTAAATAGTCCAGGTAAGTTAAAAGTCAACTCAAATCGAAATGAAGACTGTTTACATTTAACAACGAGTTCGGCTTCGGTTCTGTCGGCGTTGGATGTGCATGCGTACAAGCCTGCATCTGTGATTTTTGCCTCGTTGATTACTAATTTTCTCTTTCTACCTTCTTTTACTATGCGGACCCTAACACGAAGAAGTCGAAATTTTAATATCTTCGAAAAAAAAAACAGTAAGCATTACTATAAGTTTACCTTTTGTCTGCTTTAAGATCTTGTCCGTTCTTGGACCATTTAACGTCTCCAAGCGCATCGTCTAGCTCACAAATCAACGTCACAGCATCCTTCTCCGTTACTTGCTGGTGTTTCAACACTTTGACGAATTTATATGGATAATCTACCAAAACAACGGAAGTGTTAGATATTGGGGCTGTCCATTGAACATTCAATATGTATGTTCTCGAGAAGAGAGACAAATATAGTTATTAAGTTAAAAAAAATATCAGATAAATGTACGCCTGAAGTTACTAGACTATACAAAGCATTAAGATTAATGAAAAAAATGTGGAGTTGAGCCAAAATAATATGACAGTAGAGAGGGATCAAGCTAAGCTATTAAGTCTGATTGATGATATAAAGTAAATATAATGAGAGATGTATGAGAATAGGTAGATCGAGGAAATGAAGAAGCAGATAAAACAGTAAGAAGGGTAAAAAGGTCTAATTTTTATTGGCTTAAGTAAAAAAAACCTAACCCACCACCTGGTGGTCTATCATGTAAGAATCGATACATACCGACGATTTTGGCTGTAGTAGAAGTCTTGTCGTCTTGTTTTTCTATGCGACAATAATATTTGCCGCTGTCGGTGAGTTCGCAGTTCTTTATTGTTAAGCGGCAATTGCCACTCATGTCCTTCGAAATACTGTACTTTTCGCCTTCGGTCAGTTTCAATTTTTCTTTGTACCATCCGACAATGGCCATACTGCTGCTTACCGTACATTCCATATTGGTCTCGTGTCTAGTGTAACCGTCGGTTGTCGAATTCAATGGCCGGATAAACGTGTAAACCGGGTCCGGTTCTATAAGATTAACATGTTCACGATATGACATAATTTGTATTTTAATTATTGTATGTAGCTATTCTACTTTTAACTTTTATAGAACTTGCGAGCCTGGGAAAGTTAATGTATACAGAATAAATTCTTATTAACCTGGCCCATAGCTTTTAAAACTTAAAACCTATTTACTAATGCAATTTGTTTAAGCAAATACTCGTTGAAAAAATAATTTCATTATTACGTTATACAATTGGTTCAACAATTCAAATTTACATACTTCCTAAACATTTTAAGTACCTTCAACGTTGAGATAAGCGGTAGAACTTATTCCGCCTATTTCAATTGTATATTTTCCAGTATCATCTACTTTGGGTCCCGTTATAATCATTTGGTACACATCCCCTTCGTTTTTGAACTTGTACTTAGATCCAATAAATATTTCCTGAAAGAATAAAAAATCTCGATGAATGTTGTGTACTTCATTCAAAAATCATATACTTTTCGTTATTGGACTTACGTCTTTGCGTATAAACCATCTAGGTTTCGAATTAGGTTTTGAGAACACGGCTTCGAAAACCACTTTTTTGTCTTTGCCTTCTTTAGCGTACTGGTCGACCAGCGGCTTCAAGAACGATTCTTGTTTCTGAACAAGCGAATACACAAATAATTATCGCATATTATATTTTAATAATCACTGATAATATTATTTTTAGTTGGCATTCCGTCCTTACCCGTTCTACTTTCTTTAATGCCGGCACTGGTATTTCCGTTTCCTTGAGTTCGCCCCAATCAGGATCTCCCTTTTCTCTGTCCCATTTGGCGTACTTTCTTTTCTTCAACATGGCCCTGAAGTCCATACCGCTGGCGTCTGCAAAATACAATATTCGTCGTTCGTGTCAACAAACGTTTCTAAATGCAATTCATTATTATCGCCGTTTACCTGAAACGTATAATTGCATTTCGGCCGTATCGGAACCGTGCTTGTTGGTCACGGTCACCGTGTACTTTCCTTCGTCGTTTGGCTTGACTTTGCGCATGCAAAGGGTAATCGTGTTGGTTTCGCCGTCAGTGAGGAACTTGAACCGTCCCCCTTCTATGATTTCGGTAATGCCCTAAGCACACACATAGCAATTAACGCGGTTGCTTGTTAAAGTAATATTATATATTACTTTGTAGAACTTAAACGTAGGCGCTGGCGTGCCTTCCACCTGCACGGTTATGTAGCCGGTCTGATCTTCTATGGCCGAGTAGCTTTCGGCGACGTCCACAATCATTGGCGGTCCAACGGGGCCCACGTCCTTTAGAGGAGTCGAAGGTTTGTCGATTTTTTCTTCGAGCTCCGCAATGCTAGGACGTCGCATTTCCGTGCTAGGTCGACGACGCTGTAAGTTTAAATGTAAAGAAAAAACAAGTTAGAAAAACAAACGTTTTAAGTCACGCCAATTTATTGCCATTCACGTGGTGCTTTTCACATTGTATACCCACTACATCCGTTTTCTCAGCACAATGTTACATGTTCAAGACACCTTAGAAGATAATGCTAAGCTAATAAAAAATTATTTAACTACGGCTATGTCATTATGTACAAAAATTAATGTTGTGTTTAAAGACTAATACAATAAAATAGTATAACATAAAGTATTATTAATATGATTATTATGTACAATTTGTATATATATACAATTCGTTTGGACGAAATGTTAATGCGTTCTAACTAATAAATGAATACTATCAAGCAATCAAGTAGGTGCGCGTTTATTATTATGTACAACGGTCTTTTGATTAACTAATCTACTAATAGGATAGAATTGCATACATGTGTGTAAAAAGATAGCTTATAATGTACATAAATAAAATAAATAATGAGTTAATATCTATAATATGCTGAAAATTTAAAAAAAACTATATTCACTAAAACATTGCAAGCTTAAAATGTATAAATTACATATTTATATAAATAATGTAAAATGTAATACTCTAGAATATAAACTAACTACTTGAATTTTAGTAGATAACTTACAAATATGTATCCTTTAATTGTTTTGAAATATAATGTAGTTTAGAGACAAGTGTTATTTTCAAAGTTATAATCTTAGTTAGGTACACAATTTAAGAATCACACATTTGTGCCTAATTATTATTATCATTACTATTTACTACAAACTATTGCACACTTGCATGTCTAATTTCTATATTATCAGCGAACGAGATGATAGCTGTTAAATCTTAATTTTTATAATATTATTGTATCTTTATTTTCCATGTTTAGATAAATGTATTTTGGGTTTCATCATTAACGTTGGTAACTGATTTTTGTCGTAGGTAATACAAAGATAATATTAGATATTATACATATACATCAAAAGACAAGGTTGATAAAAATTTGTAAAATAAAGATGATACAGTTTATATGTTTTACAAAATAGAACACTATATTTTTTATTCTATAGTTCATATAATAGATAATATTTATACTTCAGTAACAATTACATATAATATAATTATGATTTTAATGTTTTTAGTTTCATTAGTAGTGTCGTTAGGGATTTTGCGGATTAACCGGTAATAACCAAACAAACGAGCACAGGACCAACACGACTTACCAAAGACGGACAAAAAAATAAATCCAAACTCGACGACACAAAAAATAAAAACAAAAAGGTTTAGACGGTACAAAAAACAAATAACAATTTCGGATATAGTGATAAAACTGTGATGAGGAAACAGTGTGAATGAAACCTCACCTTTTCATCAATAACCTGACCCGGCCGCAATTTTCCAACCTGCATAAACATAATGTAATTGAAAGCACTTTAAACAACAATTGCGGTTAACCAGAAGTAACCGGGGGAGACGACACAAAGACAACGAGACACAAAAATTATATTTGGAATTTCAATCGAAGTTCGATAACATTATTGTAATTATATGATATTATTGTTATTGTTTGTTTTTGACATCGCCAATAACACCCGTGGTGAACAAATGCCAAAACAGCCGATGAGGGTAGAAAACCATTGTTATGTTTCAGTTTTATTAATTAAAATACCACCAAAGAGACGCAATGCGAAAAGACAAATTGGATTTTCAACACCCTCACCTTTTTTTCTTCCAGGACCTCTCCGGGCCGTAATTTTCTATTTTCCTAAAATTAGACAATATTCAACATGTATTTTTCTAATCCCAAATTCGGTTTTCTTACAAATTCACAAACAATTCTAAGGAATCCTCAAATAGCGCGTGAAAATTATTATTCTATACCAGTTTTTCTTTTCACTGTAGATGCGACAATTATTATAGTCTTATATATTGCAAATACAGTTTCCATTGTTTAAATTTTTTTACACATTTATATTTTATCGTTTGGTTTTGATTTAATCGTAGTAGCATTACATTCGTTGTGTAATTCTTTTATGTATTCGGTATAGGTAACTCGGCTACAGTGAACTATATTATACTACATATTTCTATCTACTCTAAGGTTGCAATTACGAAGATTCAACACTAGATTATTGATTGTTATACTAATAATGAAAAAAATAAATGTAGTATGCATAAAAAGCTTTTGCGATACCTAATCGTTGGCGCAATTCGTTCATTAGAGCACCATTACGATTTGGAAAACAAAATGAAAAATGTTTCGTTCATTATATTATAATAATTTCACAATTCATTTTATACTAATAGATTTAGAGTGGTAAAGAAAGAAAACAAAGGGCGAGATGTCGTGAAATAAAGAGTTTGTGTTTGAAATAGAGAAATAAATGTATTTTCCTGGGTGACTGGAATTGCCGGACAGCCCATACTTACTTCGTCGCTGATAATCAAACTGGGACGACGTCCCTTGTCCTCAGGTGGAGGAATCAGAGATCCACGACGACCACTCGTCGATCCAGAGAGTCCCAAAGAACTCTTTCGGGAATCGCCTGGCGATTTGTCTCGAATCACTTCAATCTTAGGCGCTTCCGGCGCCTTGATTTCCGGTACACGACCGTGCTAAACATAAAAAATAGATGATATTTTTAATTGCTCAACGATAACCGAATGGTTTTCCATGTTTAATAAAATCATGTGAGACATCGAATATAAGTGCTGGTCACGGGTGATGGAAGTATTGGATGTTGGGCTGTAACTGGAAAAGCCATGCCTATTACCTGAGCTGTACTCGAATACTCGAATCGGCAGTCGAGTCGTAGTAAAAAATATGAAATTAACAATATTATCCCTTAAAAGCTCGACACCTATTTTGATTACTACCACACAATATTTCTATTCGATACATAATTGAATTCGGTCCCCGTCTTGACGCCTGTGATTAGAAATAGGAAGAAAGAATGATTTTGTTTGTAACTTACTCTAGTTTTCGGTTTGTCGTCCGGAGCATCAAAAGTGATGCTCGGCTGTTCTTGAATTGAACTTTCATCTTCAGACATAACGGAATAGTCGGCGACACTCACCTCCTGAACAAATTATTCGTTATACAGATGCAATTAGTGCTGTTTTTTTTATGGTAGGTACTTACCGGCGTTCGGTCGTCGATAGATTTTGTATCGTCGAACGAATCCTGCGGAGTTGTCAACCTTGTTCCCTGAGAAAAACGAATATTTTATACAATCGACAGAATATTCAAGTTACATTATTTTTAGATTTGTATTATTTTATTTAGAGCACAATATTACACATGTTAATTTAACATAATCAGTTAGCTCAGAGGTAAGAGTACTCACATTTGTTATTGACGGACGCATTTTCTTCTCTGGTTGAACAGGTTCAACATTTTCTTTTGGTGTCGGTACTTTCTTCTGAAAATATATAAAATCATTTAAACAGTTATTTACTGTTTCTATTTACGTTTCGGTTACATGATAGTATAATAATTACTTTAATAGAAGGTCTTTTTGCCTCAACATTCTTCTCATCTGTTTTTAAAGTTTTGTTTTCTGCGGTTGATTTCTAAATAATTATAAGAAAATGCGTAGTTAGCAATAACACGAATATAGGTTATTAGAAAAACATGTTATGATTATATTTTATACACATATACATTTTATTTTTAAAAATATATCTTCTTATTGTATTTGTTTTTTTATATACAAAAATAGCTACAATAAACTTACATTTAAGACAGACAAACGTCGAGGTCCGCCGATTTCAACAATCTCTACTGGCTTAGCTTCAGGTTGTTTCTAAATATATATATACACATATATGTTATAAATGCATTTTTTCTAACTACAATTTTACTCTAGCACACGCTCAGTATAAATAGTTACATTATCTATTATGCATGTAAACATATTAATAACGTTGACAGTTTAAAATCTATTACTTACTCTTAAAACCGGCCGAAGTTTTACCATGTCTCTGTGTGGTATTAGTATTTCATTTTTGGCATTCTAAATACATTGTAACAACTGGTTAAACTACATAATATCACACGAAATATTTCTACTATACAATTACACTAATGGTAGATACTGTATTATATCTTTGTCATAAGTAAAGATTTATTGCATATTAAACTACCTACAAATCTTCAAATTACAAATTACAACTAGCTACATAGAAAACTTACTTTACTGCAGGCTTATCGACTTCTAACCACCATTGCATCAGACATTTTAAATATTGTTTAAATATTAGGGCTTTTTAAAATGATAAGCTATTGTACGTTATAGTTTACAATAGTTATTCTAAAATTTATTTTAACATGAATAATTAGCATATTAGAATACTAGATTGAGAATTAGTACTAAAATACTTTTAGAATAATAGATTGATAAATATAATTTGAAAGTTGTGATTTTGTTAAGCATCTTTAAACGAAATCTTACTTTGACTAATGGCTGTTTTTTGTTTGCTGGTCTTTCATCGTCAGCAGACCCTAGTGTTGCATCACTGGCCTTCTAAAAACACAAAAAATTCAATACTTCTACCTACATGCAGTATATCACATGCAGGTTAGTCCTAAATAAGTAATACAACTATTGTTACTTTTATAACGCTTATTTAAAACAGCAATGTTATTATTTATGTAAGATTTTAAAAAAATATATAAATTTGTCTAATCGAAATATTCCCATCACTAATGACTACTAAATACTACACTTACTCTTACAGATGATCTTCGCCTACTATCGGTTTTATCAGTGTCAATATTTTCCAGAATGTCACTGGATTCCTAAATACACACATTGAAGGTATAGTCTAGCGTATTCTACATGATATACTAACAATGATTTCTTGCCATAGCTTACTTTAACAGATTGTCGTCGATTAACTTCTGGCTTATCGCTAACGGCCGGTTCTAGGGAGTCGGTAGGTTTCTAAACACATAAATGCCAACTATAGACTACTTAATGATACCGAATAACTTTTCATACTCACTTTAACCGATGGCGACGTCGTCAGGTATGTTTGGTCAGCTCCGACTGTTTCTACTGTATCAGTATTTTTCTAAAGGCACACACACAAACTATAATCTACTGTACTACTAAGTACATGAGTTATAACCTTACTTTTATCAATGAACGTCGTTTTATATCCGGTGTTTCGTCTCCGACCGATCTTACGTCATCGTTGGGTTTCTACAAAATACACCAAAACTGTATACTACTGCAAATTGGTCAGTAATGTTATGGAACAACACAGATTTTGCATTATCATTTTTGAATATTTGTACAGATGTTTTATTACAACCAAGTTGGAATCAAAAGCCAAGTTCATAATTTTATTAATAGGTATATTACTTTTTAGACATATTGTTTTTTTAATTAAATTTAATAATAATGACTTTCATTTCAACAAAATCTATTTTCCATCTTTACTATTAATAGCGTTATAAAACGAGTCCTGCAGACTATAAGCTCACTTTGACCAGAATTTGTCGCTTAATTTCTAGTTTCTCATTATTAACCGGTCCCAGTGTATAGCTGGGTTTCTATAAACGAAGTAATTCTAACTATAAACTACTCTATATGTGTGAATAGATTCATTACTTACTATAAATGACGGACGTCTCTTAGATTCTAGTGTATCGTCATCGACCTTTCCTAATGTGTCACTGGTCGTCTAAACATACAGGAAAGCTATACTGCTGTGCACTAAGGAATTGAATAACAAACATGTCCAGTACTTACTTTTACTGAAGCTCGTCGTTTCTCATCGCCAACTGGTCCCAGAGTATCGCTGGGTTTCTAGATATATACATGCTATCTATAAACTACTGTACATGCATACTCAACGATTTATTGTAATACTTACTGCATTCGACCAACGCCTTTGGTGTTCCAATGATCCTCGTTTCACATCTGGTTTATCATCATCAACCGGCTCCAGTGTATCGCTAGGTTTCTAGATACATTCATGTTAGCTATAGACTACTGTGCACAGGATTTAACTAAATAATACTACTTACTTTAACCGACGGACGTCTCGTAGTTTCCGGAGATTTGTCTTTCAATGTCTCTGAAGTTTCACGAGATGTCTATAAATACATTGTATCTATAAGCTACTGGATACACAGAACAATATACAAAGTACATACCTTTACTGATGTTCGACGGTTAACATCAGGTTTCTCATCATCGACCGGTTCCAGTATATCACTGGGTTTCTAAATACATATATCCAAACTATAGACTACCTACTTAATTTACAGAGAGTAAGCTAAATAAATATATATACTTTTACTGATGTTCGTCGTCTTACAAATGATTCCTCGTCGACCGATTCAAGGGTATCAGTAGGTTTCTAAATATATAATATACAAGCGATCTATATACTACTGACTACTGTATAGAAATAAGTAAAGATTAATATTTACTTGAACTGAAGCACGTCTCTTAGTCTCTGCTAATTCTTCATCATTTGATTTCAGTGTTTCACTGGTTGTCTAAAGGTACACAAAGGTATAAGAACTACTGAGTACAAGTGCACGTAAACGGTTTGTTAACTTACTTTTACTGAAGTTCGCCTTCTTACTTCAGGTTCCTTATCGCCAACCAGTCCCAGAGTATCACTAGGTCTCTAAACACACATATTTTAACTATACTCTACTGTACTATATATGCCACTTAATACTAAAAACGTATAACAGCATACCTTTACCGATAGTCGTCTCTTAGTTTCCGGTACATCGTCTTCTGTGGTGTCTAAGGTGTCAGTAGTTTTCTAAATATATACATAATTTATAATTATATCAAATCTATTAAATAGCGTGCTCAAGAGGTTGGTTATACTTACTGACGACAGCTGTTTAGTATTGGGTTTATCCTCGTCGACAGATTTTAGGGTATCACTAGGTTTCTGTATTATATACATTTTTACATTTTAGACTAGGTACTTTGTTATGAGATAAATCGACCCAGTTCATGCAAAACACATTAAGTCCAAAGTCGTCGTTTTCAAGATTATTAGAGTACAATAAATAACCACAGACAAGTACTACAAGTAGATATCACCATATAGTATCAATGTTGTTGTAAAAATTATGTTCAAGAAATTTGAATTGCAATTAAACGAAATAGCAATTTAAGATGAAGAAAAAAGTTATTTCATAAAGGAAAATGTTTAAGTTATTCATTTTTAAACTCTCATTTTCGAAAATGACGATTTTGGGCTTGCATCAACGGGGTTGATATATATTTTGTATATATATATATATATTGTATGTACACATTTTTTATTAGGTAATGTTAGTGCTTACTTTTACCGATGGACGTCGCCTAGTTTCTACCGCCTCGTCTTCTATATTATCTAGTGCATCAGCGGTTTTCTAAAGACACATGCAATGTATAGACTACTTTGTACGTAAAATAAGTAAATTGTTTACTTACCTTCACAGATGATCGTCGTCTAACCTCGAGCTTTTCGTCCTCAACCGTTCCAAACGTGTCGCTGGTTTTCTAATGATATACAAATTATATCAATACTACATATCTACATTTGTTGAAGGTAATTGCAAACTTACTTTGATCGATGTTCGGCGTTTAACTTCTTGATTTTCGTCATCGACTGAGCCAAGTATATCACTGGGTTTCTAAATATAAGTATGCAAAGTTAAACATCAACAATATTTACAGAAAAAAAATTTAAGCACATACTCGTAAGAATAAAATGGATTTCCTTACACAAACGTTATCTAATTCATATTTTTTAAAAAGATTATGACTGATACTCTAATTGTCATTAGTGTTTTATTAATCTCTAATTTTTAACTATTATAACTCATTTTTAGAGTTTGGTATTACGTGGACTAAAATATAATAATCTTGAATAAGATGTAACCAGCAATTATAACTCTCACTTATAGATGTGAAATATGAAAACGACAAAAGTAACATAAAGAAGACTACAGAACAACATTTTTTGACCAGTCATTGATAATAGAAAAAATGAATTGAGAAGGAAGTTCACAAATAACTACACAAAGAAATGGGATTAGCGCCAGTAACTAGCTACATAAAATGCCATATGACAAATAAGATGACTTCGAGGGACATGTAAAGATGGTAACTAAGTATGAGATAATAAGTATAGTAATGGAATGGAAACCCAAAGAAAAGAGGCCACGATATGTAGTAGAAAAATATCTTAAACGCTAGGAGTGCAAGATTGGTAGGTAATAGATCAAGAATAGAGGAACCTGGAGTGATGGCGGTAAAAACTCTTAGAGAGTAATAGGTGCTAGAATAGGAAAGTAAAAGCTTGATCATGTCTTAACTGTTATTATTATTCTATTATATTAATCTTTAGCTATGATGAGTCTAATATGATCCAGATAAAAATATTCCTAGTAATCATGACCAAATATGCATTAAAGTGATTGTTTATCAGAAAAATCGGAAATCAGCTATCCGCTTTTACAGTGTTATGTTGATATTGTACTGGAAATTCAATGCTAACAATTTGCTATTAACTCATGTATAAACTCATGCAAAACAGCAACTTACTTTTACCGACGGTTGTCTCTTAATATCTGACTTGTTAGTTTCAAACGTTTCAATAGTTTCGGAGGTCGTCTAAATACACACATACATATTTCTGTAGTTTATAGTTTACTTATTTACAAGGACGTTAAGAATTGGAATCTAAACATACTTTCATCGAAGAGTTTCTTCTCCTCAACGGAGTTTCGTTAATACTCGATTCGGGAGAGGAGGAACTGTTATCATCATCATCGTCTACTTCCATAACTTCGTCGTGGTTATTAATAGTATTTTCTTTAGAAGTTTTCTATTATGTTATTAAAAATAAATTAAGTATATAAAAATGATCTAACTTTTAAACAACATGGCGGGACTATTGATTTAGATATTGAGAATACTATTACACGATGATAAACGGTTACTTTTTATGGTTTTACATGCTAACTATAAGTTTTTCCTTATTTTGTGAAATATGTATAATTATCTACTTTCTATCGGATGTCAACTAACTACTAAATAAAATCAAAATTTGCTTAAATGTTAAACACAACGGAGAGCGAATGTTAGGATAAGAACTTTTCTACATGATAGGAATGAAAAAAACAAATTAACTAATAAAAAAAAAGTGGAAAATTTCTAAAGACAAAAGTTATGACTGTACTTACTTTTAAAACTGAGGTCCGACGATGACCTGATGTCTGTTCTTCTTCAACTGGTTCGACCGTTTCGCCATCGGTTGTTTTCTAAAAATGACACGCCGGGTACAAACAAATAAATATTTACAAAATTCTACTTTCACTAGAATACCGAAACTTAATGTTTTATAAAAATCATAATATATACAATTCGAAGTCATTTTATTGGGTATTTTTAAGTTGACACTCACTTTTAAAACAGATGAGCGACGTGATCCTATTTGTATTTCTTTTTCGGGTGAAGCAATACTATCGTCGTCAGTTTTTTTCTATATACAGATTAGAATAGCACAAAAAAAAAAAGATATATACACAAAATATTCATACATATGTACAGTAGGGTTTGGATACAAGAAATATCCGAGTATGTACAGAGGAAACACAAAAAACTAATAACCTACTTGATTCACAAATAAACGGTTTGTACTTACTTTTAATATTTTCTTCTTTTCGCCTGTTTTATTCTCCGATTTATCTTTAACCGATTTCTACACATAAAAACAGTTGATACAGTTAACTATATATTGTTCAAGGAGTGCTGAAATTCCAATTTTTTGAAAGAGTTTGGAAACCCACATTATACCCACTCAACATTTTATTTTGCAATACATTTGTGTAACTCGCATATTGTAGTTAGATATATCAATGAACTGACTTACTTTTAACACTGACGACCGACGTCTTTCTTGAAGTTTGTTCTCAGTGTCTTCCGTAATAGAGGTTTCACTTTCCTTTTTTTCCATTTTCTTTGAAAAAACAAGATTTAAATTTTGTTTAGTTAAATCTGTCTAGTGGATATATTTTTATACTAATAAATAAATAATAGATAGTATTAATTATTTTGTACCTTTAAAATCGAAGAGCGTCTTCTTGTCTCCGTTACTTCTGTTGTCGAAGAAGTCTCATTAATTTTCTGAAAATGTAATGGAATATCAATAATATTTCAAAAATATAATACTTTTAATCTAATAATTTATCAAGTGATTTCCTGACAAGACGTCGTGGCCGAGAGGGTACCGCGGCAGTGTTTCTACGCTCTAGCCGTGGTTCGAATCTCGGTTGCTGGCCGTTTTTATAGCTGGGTGGGACAACCGTCAAGGGAGAGAAATGACCACCCGACTAGAGCAACGGGAAACCACCGCACCATAACCACTTCCCCAGGATTGTAACTCTTGAATCTAGTAGACAAGTAGTCTCTAATAGTCTCTAGGTTAGGTTCCTGACGAGATGCCGGGATAAGATATTTTTTTGTTAAAAAAGATTCGATAACACATGCAATTAATTGACCATAGTTAACTGTAACTATTAATTAATTATAGTTAATGAAGTTGCCTACAATGGCAGATAGCTGAGTTGCTTTCAAGTAGTCATTTTTTTTTTATAAAAATGTTACCTTTAATATAGAAGCTCTACGTTTCTCTTCTGGTGGTGCATCTTCACTCTCTTCAGTCTCCAACGTTTTCTAACAAAACAATAAATATCAAATCGTGAATTCGTCCGATGAATTTGGTGTATTATACAAAACTGCAAGTGCCCTAATCATCTATAAGAAGTACAATGCATAATATTTGTATTACCTTAGATGCCGCGATAGAAGATTTTCGCTTGATAGTCTTTTCTTTGGTTTCTTCTTTCTATAATTTTAGAAATACGAATACGGATTTTAGAAATGCCAATAAGATTATTATTTAGTTTTAATTTTATATTACCTCTTCTTCTTCTTCTTTGTCCACTTCCATTTTTTCTAAAGAAATATAAGAAACAACGAACAGTATAGTAGTCAAATGCTAACATATCGAATGAAAAATGATGAAAATTTCTATTTTATATACCTGAGACATCAAGTTCAGCATACGATTCATCACTTCCCAGATAGTTTCTGAATAAAATTTTGTACCTGCCACTATGTGATAATTTCGTGTTGGTAATTACCAAGCTCGCTCGTTTGCCATCAAAGCTAATAACTGTATCCGTTGATTCTCTGACTACGACCGAATTTCTAGTTATCAAAAAACAATTGTATTAAGTTTTTGAACACATGGTGTTTACAATAAGGTTATTTAGTTTAGTCATTAGTTTACTTACTTGTACCACGTGACAGTGACCTTTTTGTCAATTTTCGTTAATGTGGAAACGAATTCAATTCTATCTCCTAATACAGCAGTCTTTGTAAAAAAAAATTTCTTGTCAAAATTAACGTTCGACGCTTATAACAGTATAATATTTTAATCATTAGATACTCACTCGAAAATAGCTCCAAAATATAGCATTAGAACAGCGATAAATGTGAGTAGTTATTATAGCTAAAAAACAACTTTTTTCTTCAATAAGCATTTTGTACATACACATTTTGTACGACCTAATTTACCGCTCACAGAAATAAAATGGCGTACAGCGAACAATTTGACTCACAATACTATTATTAAAAATATAACGGAACTAGTTTAACTAAATTAAGCGTTAAATAATATAATAATTTAATATGACTTTTTTAAATTTAAGTCATGGCAAAACATTGCATTGCCATTTATTGACAGTTGTAGATAGAAACACTACAAACAAATTACAAGTAATGCAACAATTATTTACTGCATTAATCGTTTATTGGCGGCAATATTTTAGTACCTTATACCTGAGAAAGAGCCATTTGCAAAATATATTATTTAGGAGATACGTTTGGAAAAGGAGTAGTTAAATTATTGATATTGAATAACGAATGTATCCCAAAATTGTAGCAGATAATAATATTTTATCATAATAAATACACTATTAAAGAACGATAATGACATATACCTAATATTTATTGATAGTGGTGCTTATCACATCTGTACGATTGTATAACATTTGTTCACGCCACAACCGCGTTACTACGGTTTCTTAAATAACATGTTATAAATAACGTTAGAGCAGCAGACTCGCAATATGCCTTGAAAAATGCTCATGAATATATTTTGAACCGTGCCGTATCCTCTTAAATAGTATCAAAACTAAATAGTAATGGAAAAGGACGTAGCAGATGATTTGAATTCTAGAGAGGAAACTCTAAGGAATGTGAAAAATATGAGGCGTGTACCGAACAAAGATGCAGATTTCAAGTGGATGATGTTTCAAGACGAACTGGAAAAAGACCAAGAGAGAAACCCGGAAGTGGACGATTGGTCTATGTACGATGGTCAATATCCTCGTGTAGGCCCGTTTATGTTCTACAGAAATAAAACGCCAAAAGACAAAAACGAATAGAGAAATGCAAAATTCATCAACGAAAACAATAATAAATTAAAAATGTCATCTCCTTAATAACGCTCTTTTTTTATTTTATTTTTTTATCGTAGGGCGTTTTGACCGAGGTAGGCTCTATTAGGGCCTAGTTCGTTCGCCGAGTGTGCGCAGGACATTTCTACCATATACTCTAATCTTCTATTTCATCTTCCAGCCAGAACCGCACTTGATTCTTGGGTGAAGTATAGTCTCTGTAATATTAAATTTGTACGAGCCCGAAAAAGACCTATCCAATTCAATCCCGTGTTGAAGGATAATGCCCATAATATCCATCCTGAAATCCATCTATGTTTCCAGAGAAACATAAGAGAAAAAATGATTTTAATATTTTACCTGATAGCATCCTGACGTTCCTGTAGGGGTTTGAATGGAAATATTATTAACGTTGATGTGTTCAATGTTAGGTTTTGAGGAAATAGAGTGCAGATTTAGATTTTAGGGTATATATTTGGCAAATGGTTTTGGACGTTACACATTGTGTTATTTTAAGTACGTTAACAGAGCCACAAACATGCGAAGAAATGAATAGACTTACAATGGGCTGGAGTTTTTGACCAATAGTCGGTTTTTCTTCTTTGTCTTCAGCGACTTCTTTGACTTCGATAGGCGTGGATACTGCCTCGCCCTTCTCGTTTTTAGCGATCAAATTGTATACACCTTTGTCGGTGGTAGAAGCGTTTTTCACTTCCAATTTGACCACGTACTCTCCCTGTTAAAAAAAATAAAAAACGAATTGTGTTTAAAATACATTTAACGCTTGGAAGTATTTAGTCATCGTTATTACGTCCTTAACACGTTCGATTATCGTTTGCCTTGAAACGTTGTCTCTGATCACGGTGTTGTCTTTCTTCCAAGTGCATTGGGGCTCGAAAATGGACTGGATGCGACACTCAATGACAACGTTTTTGGTTCTTGATATTGTGACAACACGTGGGACTTCTTTGATCACAGGTATTACTAGGGAACAATATTAAATGAGACAATATTTAATCCAAGTAGATATACAGCAAAGAGACGACCGTCGTGCCACATAATCATCTTTCACTTACTTTCAATATTGAGTGTTAAATTCGCATTCAGTTCACCATTCCCGTTTTTTATACTACACTTGTATAAACCAGTATCCTCTTTACCCGGGTTCTAGGAAATACAAATCGATTTTCGCCATTTAAAAACAAACTCAATAACAACTATATCACGTTTGCAAAAGCGATAATACCTTTAACTCTAAACAAATGTAATACGAATCCGCTCTATCCTCGACTCTCCAAGAAATCTTTGAGGTCTGGCTGAGTACCTTTCCGTCGTGGTACCATACAACTTCAGGTTTGGGATTAGCCTTCACCGTGCAATCCATTACGATAAGTTTACCGTTCTCCTTTGACTGAATCCTTGGTTTCACCAAGAATGTAGGAGGATCGCCCTCCTGTTCCGGTTCGGTTTCGATGTTCAAGTTTAAGTTGGCGTTGCTCTCGCCGTGTTCGTTTTGAACATGACACCTGTAGGTACCGCTATCAGGGCCAATCGGGTCCTGAACAAATTGTAACACGGTAATGTTATTTATTGATTTGTAAAATCCACATGGGTGTTTTGACTTCACCTGTATGAGCAAAAGCACTTCGTATGTGTTGTCTTCTCCGTTTACTTTCATTGTGATTTTGGACGTCTCCGTTACCACTTTTGTGCCTTTGTACCACGTTACTTCTGGTTTAGGATTCGCCTGGCACTTGCATCTGAGCGTGATCAGTGTACCGGACTCGTTGGGAATAATTCTAGGTTTCTCGATAAACGATGGCGCCATCCCAGAACCAGCATCACCACCTGTAAACAAAAAATCAAAACAAACGTGTCAAACAACTCGGACCCGAGCGGTTCGGATATCATTCGAAAATCGTCATCGTTTGTCTCTACCTACCACTAAAAAATGGTCACAACATCGTTTTATTATACCTGAATTATGTTATACGACGTGTCTAAGGTATAGTTTAGGATAGCATGCGCAGGGTGTTCGGGTGGAGTTAATGGGTGAAACAGTGATGTGTTGTTTACAGTTAAATCCTACGGGTGCTCGTCACAAACACAATATTTTCGGGGGGATATAAATACCTTGGAAGTTTAATGATATGTTTGCATTGCTTTCGCCGTATACGTTGCAAGCGTTACAGCGGTAATTTCCACCATCCTCTTTGGTAGGATTGGTTATTTCTAATCTAAGTAAGTATACGTCTTTGCCGATAGTCTTTTTCGACATTTTAATGCGTCCGGTATCCAATAAAAGTTTGGACGCTTGATACCAGTTGATTTCAGGAATAGGGTTGGCTTCGAGTTCGCATTCCATAACCAGAACATCGCCTTCTTGGTGTATTACAGGTTTCTTCGGGAATCTCGGTTGCTTTTCTTCCGGTATTCTAAACATATATAAACACCATTTTCTGAGTCTAAATATATTACACATTGAACATAGTTTAACAGTAGGTACTAACCGTTAGTATACATGCAACTTGATATCACATTGAAATAGTCATACACATACATTAAAATACTTAGCTATAAGAACGTTAGTAAGTAGAATTTTAGATCATTATAACTTTGAAGTACAAGAAGTTATTTAAAATAAAAATGAAAAGTAATGTACAATACAAATTTGAGGATAAGTTTTGTTGAGGACAATTTTTCGCAACAAACTCGCGTTATTAAATATAATTAATCCTGGAGGGGGGGGGGGTTAAATTAAAGAAACACAAACAATGCACATAGTTATTGTTGCAAAAATTATAATTGTAATGCAAATTATATACTAGATTAACAACCCTTTGTTTTTCTGTCAACATTTCTCTGCCTATCAACGATGTTATTATTGTAAGTATGTAAGTAAATAAGTAAATAAAACAGAAGACAGTAGATATCTCTACGTCTTTGAAATGCCAATCAATTCGTTTGTACTTACTTGAGCTGGCCCGTTTCGTCGTGTAAGTTCAATATGACTGCAGCAACGCACTTTCCGTGCTTATTGTTTGCTTCGGCTTTGTACTCTCCACCGTCGGCCACCTCGGTGTTTTTTATCTGTAGCCTGGCCAGATAGTACAGTTTTTGGTCTATATCCAGTGACGAGGAATACTTACTACCCGATATCGGTTTTTTACCGTGGTACCTAAATGTAAAAAAAAAAAAAAAATACGAAAGAATTAAAGCATAACTGTCGGTTGGAAAAGAAAAACGACCTGTTTCGGTCGTACTCACCACTGGACTGTCGGCTTAGGGTCTCCCACCAAACGACATTCTATTATAACATTATTACTATCTTCAGTCTGTGTAATTATGGGCCTTTCGGTAAACGTGGGTTTAATCCCATCTTCAGGTACAGGGGCTTCGTCACCTAAAGTGAAAACTTACTAAAAACCTACGGTTCGTCACTGTTGTACTTAAATTTTACACAGTACGTCGCTATATTTAAAATTGTATAGTAGTATCGTAGATTAGGTTTATAACATCAATAGTCTTAGTACTATTATTATCATTATTATTTTTTTTTTTTGTAACATTAATAAATGTCATTTTGATAATATTAAATAAAAAGTGGGTGAATGGGTCCTTAACCAAATGGAGAGTCGCGCGTTTGTTCTATTCATTTTTGTGATATTTATTACATATTATGGTAAACGATCATTCACATTTATAATATTTAAAATTAAATTCAGACTTCGAGACAACTTCAAAAATCACACACACACAACTAATTCAAATATAAACTCAAAAAAAAAAATTACAAATCTACGTCAAAACTTTTCTAAATAAGTGAGTAATAATATTATTAGGTTAAATAATTTATTTATAAATTATTAGTGTTGTTTTTAAAGAAAATTAACGGGATTATTATTATCATTTTGACTTTCTATTTTTGATAGACGTTCTACACAAAATCCAATAGTGTTTTAAAAATAACATTTATAGTCTGCTTATGAACGCCAATTGCCAGTAGTGCTATTCTTGGCATTAGTAGCGGTCCACGAGAAATAAGATACATTCTATTATAACCACTACAAAAAAAAAACTACCGTTTTTTTAAGTTATTATTGTGTTAGTATATTATCTCTATAAAATTTTTCCCCGTCAGCGAGACGATCTACGCCATGTCAACTTTGTTAAGTTGATACGTTAAAAAAGTTGTTCTTATAGATATTCAAGTCAACTAAAAATGTTTAATTATCAAATTATCAGGAAAAATGAAAAACCGTAAAAACATTATGTGAAATTTTGTTGTACATTTGAATAATATAAATTTTTCTGGTGATCATTAATCAGAGTAATGATTATTGAAATTCTATACTTAGTTTGGAGACTGAGAGACTTATGCAATGACCGTTTCGTTGAGGTGGCCAAATGCACTCGAATAGTTAGAACTACATTCTTGTTTTGCCCCACAAACACACACTTGAGCGTTACGGGGCTATGCTATTATTACACGATCATGAGTGCCCATATTCAACAGAGTAATAATAACCAATTGACAAATTGTAATATTTGAAAATACATTTTCAATGAGATTTCCGTGTCGTATTCGAATTGACATCCGTTACACAATCTATAGAGTTTTTAGCTTATAGCACTATATTGGACACTACCGACTGGACGCTGTCGATAAAACCACCAAAACAGAGTATTAATGTGTTTCAAAATGTTTCAACAAAAAAACAATAAATGAATTAAAGACTTGAAACACTTATTGGATTTCGATAGAATTCTATCAAAAATCATTATACATTCACGAGTACACGCAAAGTGTAATATTATTTACAAGAGGCGAAGAAGAATAGATTTCAACAGGTAATTACAACTATACAGTTTGCAAATCTAACTACTATAATGTGTACTACACGCATAATCTTACAAACAAACAAAACATCAACGCAATACTTTACCAAAGTACGTACATACATACAACTTACACAAAAACTCAATCATATAACAACTCAATAGATACATTTATACGTGTCAATCAATACTATTCATAAAATTAATAATACTTTTCAAAGAGCGTTGACGTATATTTTATGAAGGGCAATTTGCTTTAGACTACTGGCTGAAGGTGGTTAAACGAAAATGTAGGATGTTCGTTTATGTTATCTCAACAAAAATCCGTTCTAAACGGTATTTAATGAGATTTTTGTATTTTTTTTAAATTATTTTTATTAGCTTCTACGATAAGTATAAGCGGTACGCACTAGGCAGCAAAACTTTTATAAAATTACTACGTGACCAATCAAAAATTAAACTATCCGTAATGCATAAAATTTAAATTACATAACATATACTAACTGTCAAAATTGAGACTGATAGTTGCGTTGCTCTCGCCCAATTCGTTTTTTGCCGTGACTTTATACTTGCCGGCATCCTCGACAGTGACGTTTCTTATTTCTAGAGTTGCTAAATAGGAATGTCCATCTTTATCTACATATTGCTGTGAAAATGAAATATTTAATATTACAAAGGTATAGAGCATAGTATAGTATAGTATAGCATTGTATTACAGCAGGGTATGCAGGGTCATTTAGTAAATTATATCGTATAGGGATTTTATGACTGGGAGTAAGCCTGTTTGTGTGGCAGAACTTTAAGTTTATAGCGTTTAGGTTACTGATACGCTTACGGGTTTGTCTTTTAAATTTTATACTATGAAATTCATAGCAAAATAAAAGAAACTGATTTCAGATTCTACAATTTACATAATTTAAGTATTTTACGTGGTTTATTAGGCATACTTGGAATAACTAGTAGTTTCACTTATAATAATCATAATAATATATAGTTTAATAATTGGAAAAGCTATACATGGGCTGTAATGTACCTTGTGTCTAGGCGAATCGATCACTGGTTTTCCGCCATGAATCCACGATATTGTAGGTCGCGGATCAGACTGTATAGTGCACTCGAATAAAAGCCTCTTGCCTTCGTCTTCTTGTCTGATGGACGGTTTTTTAGAAAACGTCGGTGCTAAACCGTCAATTTGTCTAATAGTAAATAAAAATATTTTATTAACGAAAATCGGGTTGTTATTTTATTTCGAGAAGAAGACTTTGGTAAGCAATGAGCAAAGCCATATTTGTAATGTTATTGACTACTATAAATGAAAAACAATTTTTAACCTTTAAGCTGTGAGTTTATAGAAACAATTATTGATAGTCAATTAAAAAAATTTAGCTCTAATCCAAAATCGACGAAAATAACATTATTTTTAAATTTAAATTTAAAAATGAATTATTTTGCTAATTAACAGCTGTTTGAATACCACTGAAGATCCCCAAATAATAATAATAATAATCATTTTTCTTGATAAAAAATAAAAATATGGTTATATTGAAAAAATATACCTAAAAAAGAGCACTTAGAAAAGTATTTTTAAAAAAGAATCGAATTCACTATTAATATTAAATAAGAAAATCGTTTTTATACATAATTTTGTTTTAATCTATCCCTCCCGATAATGCAAGCTGAATCACGCTCTTCTAACATTTTAAACTAATAAATTATTTCGTACAAATATACTGCTGTAAATTAATGAGTAGATAATAATACTCTACTTACTTATCATGTGGTTCATCAGAAGCTGAAAAAAAAATGATTTTATAGTATTGTAAAAATAAAACAAAGATATAAAAAAAATAGTGTTTAATAGTAGTGATTTTTTTGTGACGACCCACGTAAAATCAAAATCTATGGTTTAAAAAAGAGTCATAACAATAAACAACGATTTATTCCACACTTGCGTAGATTTAAAATACTTAACTAAAATAATTTGGCGGCAAATTTTTAGCCAGTCATAGGTGAACGCATACGAAATTCGCCAACGTCTAGCTTAGCCATAATATAGTCTATGTCATTAATTTTGAGAGAAAGACCTCATAAAATTTAATAATAGCTAGTATTGAGAAGGACAACAAATAAAAAGGCTATAAAATAAAATCACAATAATTCTTACTAACATTCAAATAAAGTATACCATTAAAAAATCATATTAAAAATCAGAAAAATAAAAACGCTGGACGTGGCTTAAACTTATAAAGTTTATTTTATGTCTAATAAATGAAATATTTAGCATTGTTAAATATATTAATTTATTTCAAATTGTCATAGTTCAAATAATGAAGTATTTTCATAATTTCAACTATTATGACATTATAATACCATAAAAAATACGTAAACAATTAATAATGTTTCTAATTATACACAACTTCCCAAAAAAATATTAATTTTAAATTATTTTAGTTTTAAAAGAAAATGTAAAAAAGGTTACCAATAACTGTATTCATTTTTTTTTTTATTGAATATCACACTAAAGTTTCAAACGACTCAACATATCGAACGACCCATGAAGTGTTAGAAATTTATATCCAAACAATCAATGAACATTAACCATTTACCATAGTCCTCTATCAGAAATTATTTTTAAAAAATGCCCTAACAAATAACCACCAAATAAGTACAGTATCATAATTTAATTTTGTAAAAAAACATCTATACTTGAATTTACATTTAGAATCATTAACAAAAATCCTATTTCTACTGGTTCTTCGACGTACGACATGTTTTAATAACCGAGGGTTAAATATTTGTTCAAGTAAAGAATTGAGACTTATGATAACAAATATTGGCAACGTAGTAATCACCGTTTATTAATTTCTCGAATTTACATTCCGCACCCATTAATATCAGACTGCAGATTCATTGATAACGACTTTTGATAGGTAATTGGTGTCTGCTAACTGAAATTATTTAATTGTTGGCTAGATAGAATAATTATTGTCTTTGGCAATTTTTCTATAATCAACAATCAGGTTTTAGTGAATAATAACACATTTTTTTAAACCTCACACAAACCACACTACCAATACACATACACAAGGATTTATGTTGAAAAGAACACTTATCAATGGCTTTAGAATTCTGAGGCCATTTCAAAACGCTCGTTGGTTGAGCGGGTCTACGTTCAACGAAAAAGAACTATTACATAAAAGGTTGGTCACAGAAGAGACATGTCGCCGTTTCAACCTATCGGATGATGACTTGACTGATGTGATGCACGAGATGACCAAAGCAATGGACATGGGCCTTTCTAAAAGCAAACAAAACCTGGCGTCGGTCAAGTGCTGGAATACGTGCATCAACCAAATGCCAAAAAGCAACGTAGCAGGTCGGTTCCTTGCGTTGGACTTGGACAGTTCCAAGCTCCGAGTTTTGTTAGTGTCATTGACTGGACAATTGGATAACAGTTCGAAGTGGTCTTCACACACGTACATCGATAAACGTCTGAAGACCGTCTCGGGACCCGAGCTTTTCGATCACGCGGCCCGGCGACTGGCTGATTTTAGCAAACAGTTTGGCGTGTACAACGATCGACTACCCATGGCCTTAGCCTTTGGCTTTCCAACGGAACACACCGCTCCGGACGAGGCTAAGCTGGTCAGGTGGACGAAAGGGTTTAATTGCTCCGGCGTGGTTGGCCGCGACGTAGTGACCATGTTACGCGAAGCCATAGAACGGACCGGCATGGTTGCAGACGTGGTAGCCGCGGTGAACAATACCAGTGGCACGCTTGTGGCCAGTGTGGTCGACGAACCGGCCACGCGGGTGGCGGTGACCGTGGGCGACGGATGCAATTGCTGTTACGTGGAGAACGTAAGCAACGTTGGCACGTACACGGGCACGTCCAACACCGGTAAGACGGTGATCAACACGGAGTGGGGAGCTTTTGGCGAAGACGCTGCCCTCCAGTGGTATCTGACCGCACACGATCACTATTTAGACGACCATTCGTCTCATCCTGGAACGCAGACTTTCGAAAAAATGGTATCGGGTAAGTGAATTTGAGTTGACGAAGACTGTCCCTCGTTTTGATAAAAACACTTCTGCCGCTTTAGGCATGTATATGGGAGAATTGGTTCGGTTACTGTTATTGGACTTGGTCCAGAAGGGCGCAATTTTCTACGGCAGAGTCACGCCGAAAATGCTGTTAGCGTACAGACTGAAGGCCCGTCACATGGCCATAGCGGTATCGGACAAACCAAATTCGTTTAAGGGCGTTCGTTATCTGTTGGAGTCTGTGTTAGGAGTGCAAAACCCCTCTGACATAGACTGCGCGCTGTTCCGGCACATTTGCGAGTGTGTCACCAAACGATCCGCCTACCTAGTAGCCGCCGGCCTAGCCAGCGTTCTCCGGCGCCTAGAACCCGTCGAACGAACCGTGGTGGCCGTGGACGGTTCAGTTTTCCAGTATTGCCCTTTGTATCCGCAGATGGTGGGGCAGAAAGCTAAGAAACTGACCGAAGGCCGAATATCGTTTGATCTCCGGCTGAACAGACCCATGTCTAGAAGTGAATTTGGCGCAGCCCTAGTGGCCGCTACCTTGTCTGAGCCACATCAAACGCTGGACACGTCTTAGTTTCATGATTGCGATGAAAACAATGTGCTAAGTATAAAGGTTTTTTTTTAATAGATATTTTTTTTTAACATTGTTATAGTCATATACCATCTGCAAACATCAATACTACTAAGCCTTCTTTACCGAAAACATATGGAAGTATGTGAAGTACTTAAGATGTATTTATGTGAAGTATGTATAAACATAAAATTTGGCACTGACAGAGAGTTGTTCATTGTTTATGATCATATTCCCTATGTGTATATGTGACCAACGTAGTAATAACAAAAAATACTTATTTCTCGGGAACCCAAAAATCGAGCTGAAATCTCAGCGAAATATTCATTCAAATTAATAGTTACCATAATACTAATCTATATATATAAAAATGAATGTATGTCTGATTGTTTGTCTGTCTGTTCTTTATGCATTAGTACACCATTCATCCGATTGCCATGAAACTTTGGGAAGTTGTTGAGTACACTCCCGCGAAGGTAACTGGCATAGTACTTTTCGAAAACTCTAACCCAAAATAAACACTTGGTTTGTAACCATGGTGACCAAGGTACTCGAGCGAATGGTAGGTGATGATTAAAGGAACAGACCGATTCCATATACCGCGATTCTGGGGACGCTATTAAACATTTTCACGATTGGAACTACTGACTTTATTTTATCTTATTTGTTATTATTTTACTCAGCCCTGGAAAACTAAACCCCGGGCAACACCGGATATGGACAGCTTATATCTTTATAAATTTAAACTTGTTTTTAGTGACAATATTTAAGAATGACATATCTACAATATAATTTTTATTATGGAAGGTTCCATAATATTTCCATAGTACCACTAGACAAGACATAATAAAAATATTGGTCTTTTTAAACGTTATAAACAGATAACAATAGCAATTGTTTACGCTCTTGTTGCAACTTTTAAAAATCTTAAAAATGCTCAAGATATCAATTTAGGTAGATACAGGTATAAACAAAAATGTTGGATAACCACTCAACTATAGCTATACAGTTTAAAAAAAAATGAAATACTTACGGCTGAAATTCAAATTAATCGAAGCCGCCACCTCGCCCATCTTATTTTTGGCCTTAACCTTGTATAAGCCGGCATCCATTTCGACCACGTCGTCCAGTTCCAGGATGACCACATAAGTGTTGGTGGCCACCGCCTGGATTTTCATTACTGTCCTGTGGTCTTCGGCCAGCTGGGTTTCCCCTCGGAACCACGATATTTCCGGTTTGGGACATCCTAGCAGTCGGCACTCGAATATCAATCGGTTGCCCTCGTCTTCCTGTCGCAGCTGCGGTTTCTGCGTGAAACTCGGGGCAAAATCTTCGGCAACGCCCATGGCCGCCGCTCGTTATTGGTAATACAATTCTATCCTATTATTACCGCAGAGAAGAAGAGGTATTTGGGTGAATTTCGTTTAACACGTGAAATTCATGCTCGGTCCTTTGTGAAGATTCCTACATAATAACATTCTAACAACAAAAAACACACAAACGAATTAGTTAAACCCACATGCTACAGTGGGGTGGAATAGTGTAAGTACAACCAACAACTTTTGGGAACTCGATTAAACTCTAAACAGAGGTAGATTCAAATAGAATTTATACGTTGACCATCTAAATTCTTAAAAAGTATTTCCTAACGAAGAAATAATATTAAAAAGACAATACATTACAAATCTATAATCTCATTCATATAATTGTCTATTGAATACATATAGAAAATCGTCAGTAAAATAAACTCTACAGATAAATATTTGAAGGCAATCACATTTTAATTGAAAAAAATTCACTAAATTTACGATCACAGCGTACGTCAAAATTTAATTTTGTTGCATGCAGTCATACTATTTTAACTCTAGCAACACCAAGAAAAATATAGAGAATTGTGAATAATTAAACTTTTGAATTTAACCTGACCGTCTTATCAGGTCAAAAAGAGAGAAACTTTGTCATAAAAAAAATAGTTTAACATCTTCAAAATCAAAAAAATTATGAAAAATGCAAACGCACCGAAATAATTTTAAGCATTAGATTTCAGTGATTTTAATCAAATATATTTATAAATTATAAGTATAAATAGGGTGTATGTTTTAAACGTATATAAAACATTATATCAGTGACATCTGACAACTGGATGTAAATTATGAGGTATATTGAATTTTTTAAATGTTTACATTTAAAAGTATTACATACAAGTATTTTCATTATAATATTATTATTGAAGGACAATATGCTGTACAAATATATTAATCTAATTTATTTTTCTATTTAATTAAAAAACCAAACATAATTTTACAAAAATATATATTATAATATTTTAATCGGTAATGCAGCCACACGAGTATCATACATATTATATTTGTTACAGTGATTTTATTTCATAAAAAAATTGTATAAATGTTACCATCATACAACATAATTCTATGTAAACATATTTTGGTAGTAGTTTAAATAAAATAATTTATGGACAAAAGGCTATAAGTGACAACTCGGTTCTAACTTGACCGATTATAAAAATTAATATCCATGTGTAATGGTATTACGAATGTATACTGGATAGAGGTAATTCGAATTCCCATATAGCATAGTTTTGATGTTTGTTGTAACAATAGTGTAATTTATTGTCAGACAACTGACAAGTAGATTTCATAGACAGTAGTATAATACAAATCTAAAGAAATCAATTTAGTATCTATATACCATGTAGGAAAGATAATTAAAAATACAGTTAATTATTTTTGTCTATATTAATTATAACAATATATCACATTTTTGGCAAGTACTCGAGTGACATTATTTTTACTGCATTTTTACGAGATTTAATATTCTAAACGTTTATTAATTATTGTAAATGTATTTATAAAAACTTGGAGCCCAGTCAAAATAAATTTAAAAAATATGTTATTATAAAAGTCTGCAAAAAACACATAATAATAACTCTTATATTACTGAATTCAAACATTTTTATATGCATTTTTAATTAATAAGATATAGACTTAGTTAATGAAATACTATTCTATAGTAGTGTTAAAATTAAAACGGCGTATAATTAAAAATCATATGATTTTCAAAACATTTTTGTTTTTACTTTACATATAAAATCTAAACTAAAATTTGTTTATGGTGATGATATTTTTATTTACAGTCAGTTGGGCGAGCTTTCTATTGACCAATGGTTGGTTGCCTATGTACACAGATTACTTATATAGTACTCAGTATAATATAAGTATAGTATTGATATTTAGTAGAAAGATAATAATAAATAGTAATAACAAATAAATATAAATTAATAATATGGTAAAAAATATGAGATTTTGAGAGTTCGTAAGTTATTTAAATTCGGCGTAAACAATTGATTTGATAATATTGAATACTATAAAACTAATCCGCATATAAAAAAAACATGAGAAATACTCCTTTTACATAGAAAAAAACATTGCAATAAAAATATAATAAGTAGTTTAGTAATAAAAATAAAAATTGTTAAAAAACATTTCTATAATGATTATGTTTTTAGTAGTTTTATGATAATAACAGTTTATTAGGGATGTAAAGTTCCAACTTGGAACATATTCTATTTAAAATTCATATATTTACCACTTAACTGAAATAAAACGATTTCAATTAGTATAAAAATAATAATTAACTATAAAAGTATATGCTTAGCTTTTCCACTAATTGTATAATTTTTTTTTTTATGTTTTGGCGTTGTTTTCAGTATTTTATTTTAAATTTAATTACAATTTTTTTTTCTCATCAAATATGTTAAGTGCCTATCAAAACCTCTCAAGGAAAAGATAAAAATTTGATTTTATTATAATAAATAAATGTTACATTAATTATAATTATATTACATTAGTATAACTATAACATTGATTTAATTTTAAAAATGTAAAAAATAAACAATTTATTAGGCGTTTAGGGATGATTTTGCTTGCCTAGATTATTCATACCTTGGTTTTACAATAATGGGATAACATTTTTAGGAGAATCTTTTTCCTAGGATTAATATTTCTTTTTTCGGTAACTTAATAGAACAGTGACAATTCTGGAAAAGTGTGAATTGTTTACTGATTTTTGATAAAGTATTCAAAGAAATGTTGTAAATTAATAAAGTTTTATTTATGTTAGTGCATAACCAACTTCTTCTTCTTCTTCTTAACAGCTTAGCGGACCATGTAGATCCATCGCAGCCACACTATTTCATTCTATCAGGCCCTATCATTCGCATCCTTTATTTTTACGTTTTCATGGATCATTTTTAAATCTTTTTCTACTTCATCCTTCCATCTTGTTCGGGGTCTTTCTAAAGATCTTTTTCCCACAATTCTTCATTCTGTAACTCGTTTTATTGTTTTTGCCTCTGCCCTCCAAACATGTCCAGCCCATTCTACCCTCTTGCTTTTGCTGTACGATAGTATATTTGGTCTTCCATATAAATTTTGTAAGTCATTCTTATGTCTTTTTTCGTACGTTCTCGTTTCTATATTAAAAACTGGGCCAAATATTTTTCTGAGCACTTTTCTTTCTGTTGTACTTAATTTAGAGTAGTCGCCTTTTGTAGTAGCCCACGTCTCACACCCATATGTCAACACTGGTCTCAAGTAACTTGTATATAAAGTTACCTTCTATTCTCTCGATAATAACTTCGGTTTGAATAGTTTTAATCAACTGTAATAACATCTGTTCGCGCTAGATACTCGTTTTTTTATTTCTTCGTGTAATTTATTTTTGTTGTTTATATTTATCCCTAAATATTTAAACGCTTCTACTTTTTCAAAAACATAAGAATCTACTTGTAAACTTAAATCATTTCTATCGTTCCGTGAGATACACATATATTTTGTTTGCCCCTGGTTAACTGCATAACCAACTACAATACATAACTGGTAGGTTCGGCTTAGTTATTTTGTATGTAAAACTATTAGGCTAACGTAACTATGATTATGTTTCTTACTTTTTATCGTAATAAATAAATAAATCATTTTATCTCATAGGGTTTTAATAAGAAATTACATTTTTTTTATGTTGTTTCTGTACAATGGGACCTCAATTTTTTATATTGTTTTTTTTTTTGTTTTTACCCTTTAACAAGATTTTGATGAAACAATTTGTTTTTTATTTATATTTACTAAATTAGTTTAGCGTTGTTTCAAAATTAATTTGGTAGCGTAGAAGGTTTAAATAGGCGTTCTTCTATATACAGTATACGCAATGCGTATATTTTTTTTTTCAGTTAAATGGTACTTATTTAATCTAAAAAATCTAATTAAAAAAGGAGTGGAAATAATAAGTTACAATGATATATACCTTTGATGATATAAATAATATATTAAATTCAATACAACACCGTATAACTCTTGTATACTGTCATGTTGTGTGATAAAGATTTGAGTGTATAATTCAGTAATGTAATGAGAAAATACTACTTGTGAAAAAAATACTTGTCTAGAATTAAGTTGTGAAATTTACTCATTCTTTATAATTAGAAAAACAAATTATGTTTTTGCCCAAGTCTATATTTGGAGTACACGGTGCTACCCGAAAGACTGAGCTTCCCACTCACAGCCGGTCTCAACGAGTAAACAACACAAGTTCATTGGTTTCAAAGGTAAATTCATGTCTAGTAGTTTTATGTGAGATTTTTCTTTAAGTTAGCGTTAGTAATTTTAATGTAAAACCTCATTTCGGGGCAAAGATTTTTGATACGAATGACATTATTCTTTTTATACGAAGTAATCTGATCACTTGTGAATAAACCAAAAATATTCATGAAACAAAAATAATCGAATTTATCAGGTTATTTATTAGGCGTTAAGAACTTGCAATGGTCGGTAACACCGAAAGAAAATATTTAACGTAAGATACTACATTTCTTAAAAAAAAATAAACAGTTGGAATTATGTAGTTTTTTTTTTTTTGAATAAGTAATGGAGATAAGTAATTGTAAAGTAATATATAAATACACTATGATTTAAAACTTATTTATTAAAAAAAATCTATTGAGAGTAAAATATTAAAGGAAAATTTAGTCGGAAATTATTATATTATTACTTAATGATCAAAATAAAACTGATTTCAAATACTATGAATTTTCAACTAATGTTTTGTTTGTATTTGTGTTTTGATAGGATGTATTGTAATTTTTCTGCCTATAAATAATTATGCTTAATTAGGGGTTAGGATATACTGATCACCAATCATGCAATGATTAAAACTACTTAAAACTTTAACTGATTGATACTAGGATGTGAATATAATATATGAGTATTACATGCAACACTATGTTAACGTTATGTTATTAATAAACGAAAAATTTCTAAAACGGATTCAGCGATAAACAGGATTCACACTCCAATATGACAAGCGTTATAATTTAGATTTTTTAGAATTGAAAGCATTTTGGCTAGTGGACTGATTCTTATATTTCAACTTGTTTTAAATCGATTAAAAAAAATCTCTCACTTTTTCGATAGCCTTTCCATTAGAAAACTGGCCAACACATTGATCGATGATATTTACTATTTTTTGCTAGGCGGACACAGATGTCAACATCAAAATTTGGAAAACTTAAGCGTCACAGGCATTACAAACAACATCTGGATATGATAATAATAGTTTATCTAACTTGTGGTATATGAAATAGTTCTCTCGTATCAGGCTCATGTAGATAGATATAGACATATAGATTAGCTAGACAAATGCAAACTTGTTAATTTGATTTCATAAAAAATTCGGGTAGTTTCAAAGTTTTTATTTTCGTCAATAAACACAGTTGCTCTTAGCGGTGCCACTTGTTTACAATACAATTATTATTAAAGAGCAATCTTACTTTTATGGTCATCGGTATCGAAATATGAAAAATGTGGGCCACACTGGTCGAGTAAAGCCTAGACCGCGACATGATATTTTTAGATTTTTTTTTAACGCCTCGTACACCACAGTGTATAGTATTTATTAAAATCTATTTTAAACCAACGCAAGTTCGTGTTATATTTAAAACGAATACGTGTAATCTTGTTAAAGGCTTGTTTGTGTGATCGAGAGAACACGTCTCGGTCATAATTTTATAACGGCCAATAAAAAACAACTATTTCGTTGGCAAGACAATAAACAACCGCTTATGTGTTTGATGAATTTTATAAAATTTAAAATATAAGAAAATTATACTTATTCGCTTATGCAAAGTGGAAAATAAAATATCATAAAAAAAACTTGATTTAATCATATTAAATTTATTTAAATTATATGTATTTCTATTTTGGATTTGAAAATGATATGGAAGAAAAAAATTATATTTTGAACTGACTATAAATGACAACTCTTAATAGCCAATAAAATTAATTCCCCCAAATTTACTTTTATTATAAAAATGTATTATATCCATCCATAAATAGTATTATTGTAGCTAAAAGATGACACAAATGCTATAGTAAAATCTCAATTGCCACGCACTACGATTAATTTATGTTTAGACTATTTACTAACTAATTAAGAATTGTCAGTGCGTGACATTTACTATTAGGTATATATTTGATTTAACATACAATTTGAAACACTGAAAATGAAATAATATCTAAACATTATAGAATTATGTAGTAATTATAACATATAGAAAAATTTAAATAGAATAACGAGAACGACTTTTTTGGATAAGTTTAAGTATACATAACTATTTTGCTAAAAACTTAATTTTAAAACTGAAACACAATACTAGAATTTGATATTATTTTTAGATTTGTTATTTTACATGCTACTTACACTATTATATTAGCTCATAATACAGGGTTTTGATGCAACAGTCCAACTAAGAAACTTTCCAGATAAAATTAAACATTTAATTATTTTTATTTTTAATATCATTTTTTTTTCTTATTGTTAATGTAAGATTTTTGCACCATTTGTTTTAATGATCAGAAGGTTATTATTTTGTTGAAACATTATTTTTCTGATCAGATTTTAATTACTCATATAATTTTCTTATTTTGACTACATGTCTGCTATAAAACTACATTAGTATAACTACAACTTAAATTTCACCTTGCTATAATTATAATGCGTATTTTTTCATAATAAGAAAATTGTAAGTTTCATTAATGAAAGAAACGAACTCAATATTTAGTCGATTGGTGTCAACTATATTAATCAAGTTAATAACTTCCAAAATATAGACTAGACTAAGTGGCACAACCACAGGGAAGGTTAAAAAATTACATTAGGGTTTTGAATTTACTGTTAATTCTTTAAAATATTTCTGTTTATCGATCAATACATAATAATATCTTAATGTTAATTATAGGTACGTTGTGTTTATAGTTCGGTGCCTCATTTTTTTAGTGTGAGGTTTGGTTACTTTTAATAAAATTGTACTTGTAAATTTAGATAATAACTTTGAGTAGAATTTTTTTTTCTGTTCTCCCCTAATCCAATTATTATATACTCTGTATAAATTACATTCAAACATTTACGTTACATTGAAAAACACTGTGAAGTTATCAGTCGTAGTTGAAAAATAAACCTGTTATTCACCAATCGCCAATATTTCTAACTGTTTAATGTACAAGGAAAATTTAAAATGACCATAATTAATATTAATATTAATTATATTATAAATACATATAGAGTGAGAATATTGTGATGGATGTATAAAATGACTAGGTGATACAAAATAAGGAATGAGTATATTGTAGGAAGATATTTCAATGTTGCTCTAACAGCAAGGAGAATAAAAGAAAACAGATTGAGTTGAAAGAAGGAATGAGAAATTGTAAAATAAATAAGAGAGATCACGATAAAGGATTTAGAGGTAAAGGTAAACAAAATAAGAGTGGGAGAATATAATAATTAATAAATAAAGACATGTTTGGATTGAATAAAGAAATTTTGACGAATACAAATCAGTAGAGAGAATGGGAGAGAGCGCGTACTTCGCTAAATGACCATATTTGTAAGAGATAAGGCGAAGAAGATCTATCTATTTATCTAACAAACGTGCAATATATTAAACAATGTAAAATACAATAATACTTGTATAATATTTTCGATATCGTAATCGGTTATACATATTGTATCTAGCTATTAGGTAATATGGAGCTACTTAATTTACAAATTATAATATAATATATTATATTATTATTAAAATAATGTTGTCATAATATTTTTTATGCATTTCAAATGCAAATCTGGTCTGATGAAAATACTTGAAATACACAAAAAAAATTCAACACTGTACATAGTTTACAAATTAGTATGGTTGTGGATTGAATTTCGTCGTGTGAGTCGACATAATTTTGTCAGAACTACAGTTACAACAAAAAATTCACCTCATGTGTAAAATTAGGTTCTTGCTAGTACAACTGTCATTTATGATTTTGTCTAGGACCTATAGTGGACTTACTAGTTTTCACGCAGGAGTGCTGGACAAGACGGGCGAATGAGATTTTTTTTTTTTAAGTGCAATTTTTGAAATTGCCGAGTGTTACTATTACTAAGTTATCTAAAATAGAACGTCTACATGTGAGAATTGGACCAAAACCAATGTAGCGAGAGTGAGCATAAAAATAAAGATGACTAATAATATTTACACTAATTTAGGGCGTGGACACTGTCCAAAATAGTTTATGTCATGCAATCGTACACTCGGTGCAATTATGGCTTTAAAACTATTAATTGAAAATTGATCATATCGCAATTAACGCATTATAATGCCAGTGTGCAGCTGTGACTCACCCTTCGCCGGCGCACGGTCGTCCCGGATAGACTATTAAAGGACATTGATAAAGCCTGCGTATGCTGCTTTTATTTTTAAGTGAATCGGATAAGCCAAGTGCCAAACAACAAGACTGGGAGCATAGAAAAATAAAAAATATAATAACACGTCCGCAAAGTTTAATTTGTGTATTTTTTACCAGTAATATTGAAAGACGAAAAATCGTTCCAATTTCCGTTTTATAAAAATTTCAATATAAATGTCTTCGAATAGGTTTTCAACATTAGGCACTACCTACTTAACTTGTCAGGGACACGGACAAATCGTTTAGCGCATTGGTAAAAATTAGAGCATTATTAATAAGTTTAGCAAAACGGCATTAAAATTTTAAATAAATGCATATTTTTAACTGTATTCTCATGCGATTACTCGCTTGGTTTAGCAATGGTAATTATTTTCTTAAAAAAAAATCGATTATTTTTGTTATTATGTTTAACGTAACAAACGGAATAATATTATTGCTGATTAAAATATCGATAGATCTCAAAATTATCATTAAAACTATTAGGTATCTAATGAATAGGTACCTTGACAACGACAAATATTATTAATTTGAACACGATTACTTATAAGTTAGAAATTTCCAAAAAATATTGGGAATGTTGGATGGGATATTTTTTTGGATGTGATATAAAATAATAATTACCCTTGTGGCATTTCATATAATTTATCCAAACAGATATCACTGACTGTTAACGTGTAATATTTATACTGCGAGTTTGTCAAACATTAATAGAAACGGATTAAATAGTAAAATAAATTGATATAATAATGGCCGTCATGTGAATAATTTTAAAAAACTGATTTTTGTTAATCAAATAAAAATCAATAAATGCTGATGAAGTTTTTGTATTGTATAATAAGCGTTAAATTGCAAAACACCAATAGAATTTTACCTTCGAATAAGCAGCTCCATAATATGTATAAAAAAAATCACTAACACAGCACATGACCACAACTCAGCTAGCACTAACGGCAGTCCATTGCTCGGTTCTTCGAGAGAGATATTTTTAGCATGTGAATCTACCGAGAGAAACGTGAGTCGGGCACAAAAATTAAAAAAAAACCAAAGAATAGGACACATTTTTCTGACGTCAGATGTATTAACTAAATAGCTAAGGCGATAGAATCTCGAATTTGACACTCCTTAAGTAATAATAGTTTTTTTTTTACCAATCGACTGCCTAGACGTTTTTCTATACCTATAAATATATATACATACATAGTTATATATTTTATTTAAATAAATCGATCGAGCCAAATTTATACAGGCGCAATGACCAACTAACATAAACAATGGGATTTGATAGACAGCTGTTGGATTGAGAACAAGAAATAATTAATCAAAAATATTCTATCAATGAATGATAACTGTGGGCCAAGCAGCGTGTAAATTTATTAGTATTTCATAATTTGTGCAATATAAGAATTAAACTCTCGCCAAAGTGGAGAAAGATGGCCGTCGAACGGCCTATATTATGTTTTCTGTTATTGCACAACATTGCACATTGTAACAAAATATTATTTTAGTTATTTATGTAAATGTTTGGTATTTATTTTGGACACTGCCTAATTGGTTTTCTACTGGAGTAAAGTATAATATTCAAAATGTTGCATTAACGTAGCGTCTAAAATCAAATAATAAAATTATAAAGTTTTAATAGACAAGACATTTTGAAAATTAATGTTGTCAATAAAATGTTTTACCATTCTATAAAATATACTATTGAATGCTTTGACGTATAAGGATATAGTTTTTGATAAAAAATTACAAATTAAAAAAAAAAATTGTGTTTATAAATTTAAAAATTTTGCATTGTTGTTTTGACTATACTTCAATAATTTTCAAAATTACTGATTCAAGCCCACTTCTTAACTAAGTACTTCGTTTTTTTTCATGATTTTTATTGTGCTTGGTTTTTTTTTTTTTTATAATTGTAACATTAAAAATACCATATCTGTAAAAATGTCATTTAAAAAATGTTGTAATGAACGAGTTGTAAAATTAATAGTTATATTAAAATAGTTGAATTTATATAATTAATAATAATATAATAAATAAATAACAATAATATTAAATAATATAATTGAACATTTTATAAAATATATATGTTATAATTAAAGTTATAATAGTAAATGAAAACCACGTTTCTAATACTTATTAATAGTACACCGAGTTGAAATAATAAAAATTAATATAGTATAGATAAATATAGGTATATCATCACAAAAAAACACCCAGTACTTTTGATGGTATAATATACTTTAGAATGTATGGGATTTCTTATTAAAGCACCCATAGAGTAATTTGCTAAGTTTTTAGGGTAGGTAATTATGAATACTTATCTACGACCATGAGAATTAGTGTTCAGAGTACAAAATATAAGATAACCTGAGACAACATTTTTAAAACAAGCGAATTAAACATCTTTATTCTACATGCTATACATAACGCCCACCTTGTTATCTAAGTTGTAATTTGTATCTTGTAACACCTGAAAGTAAGCAATAAAGACGTTTCTAAAAATAACAAGAAATAACGAAGGTATTCATGAGTAAATTTTCACAATCGAAACTTGCTATTTTTTGCTGTACCTTCCAATGGCGATAAAACACATAAAACCACTAAAGACAACAAAATCCCTCTCAATACAAAATCTCAATAACAGATAACAAAAATCACAAAAAAACAATTCTGTCAAAAATAAAATGGCGACCTTTTTAAATGCTAAAACCCTTTATATAGCGTCTAAAATCATCGTTGCTTACATAACCGCTGGCAATGCATCGTTCAAATTAAATATGCCAGCAGTAGGCATTGCTTACATTTAAAAACTAGTCATATAACTTGTTTTCATTATTTCTTTAGAACACATTGCTTTCGAATGGAACTAAAGTGTGTTACTAATTTACTATGTTGGTATTTTTTGTTAAAGAATTAGTCAAGCTTTGACAGCTGCGCACTTGATGATAGACCACAATAAATAATCATACAAAACTAAAATTGTTATTCAGAGGAAATGATGTGATTAGTAAGCCAGAACGGATTTTTAAGAAGCCAATATAATTTTAAATTGCTTGAACAGCATGTTGTTTTTTTAGCTGTGTAAAATAAGGCAAGTTGTAAATAATGTAATCTAAAAATACAAACGTTTTGATGTTATATAGTGCAGACCGTGGTATCTATAATTATTCAATTTTGTTTAAAACAAAATTATATCATTTTTAAGCAAATTATAGTTTTTGGAATCATTGGCGAAATAAAAAAGTGCAGGGAACACAAAAGCCAACAAAAAAAAAGTATTTAAAAGTCGTTAGAAGATATTTAAAACGTTTTGAAAGGGCTATTTAAATATTATAAAGGATCAAGACTATCATTAACTATTCTGATTATTGACTATAGTAAAATAAAAATTTAGTTTATAAAATAAATATGTGTAAATAATATAATAGAATCAATTTTAATATAATATTATGCAAATTCGTTAAAATTTAGAAATGATAATAAATAATAATTTTTAGATCAAATTTAGTAATTTGAGACAATAGCCAAATAATTAGATCATAGAAATTAAAAATACGATTTATTGTTTAATTACTGAAAACGATCTAACAATAATTTTAGTTGAAAGTTACAGCACAATACAATACATTATAATTTTAATATCGATAAATCACAAGTTGGTGAGTATTTAACAGCTAAACAGTCCAGAGAAGATAGCTAATTGAAAATAGAATAACGCAGGTTATAAATTATAGTTGATGTCAACAAGGTAGAAAGTGTCTCACTTGTGTTAAATCCTTGAAATATAATTTTTTTTTCTAGTTAAAACTTTGACTGATTGAGAAGGAACAAATTACAAAATTACCGCTTTTAGATTTATGTTGCTATATCTTTAAATCCTTAAAAAGAACAAGTTTCCAATTACGCTTAAAAATGTATTACTTTATTTCAATGCATTATAATTAGTTCTATATTTCAGTCTTTTAATTTTTTATGTGTTGGCAATAACAACTGTAAAGTTTTATTAAATTCAGTATTTGTCATAACAGTTATGCTCATAACTGGTTATTATCTCTAATTTTATCATTTCTTTTTAAAAAATCAATTAAATATTTAAAAAAGTATAACGATAACAAATTGTACTAGAAAGTAGAAATATTATTATGTATGATCAACAAACAACTACGTCATAAAATTGAATCAATATTGTAGCAAAATCAACGAACACAATTATTTATGTCATTAAATTATTATCAACACCATTACCGATAATTCAAAGCAATAATAATCATCATGCGGTTAGTCGGTACAACCAATTAAAAAACAGTTCCTACTATAAATAAGCATAACTTGTGGATTTTAATTGGCCGTCATTGAAGTACGTTATATTTAGAAACTAATCTACAAGTCGAAAACCATAAGCTTAATTTTTTTTTTTAATGAATACTGGATGCTAATCTTCAACAATTTTCTTTCAAAACAAAAATATTTATGTCCATTTAAAAAAAAACCAACACAGTCTTAACCAAGCACGGTATAAACCAGCACAGTAAGAAATTACCAAAGTGCGGTCCAATATCCACAGATTCGCATCGGAGCGTTTTCTTGAGGGTGGTTTTTTGGTAGTTGCATTTATTGACTACTTTTGTTAGATAGATTATACTATAAGGGCAGTTGTCTTATAACCAGATAACCAGATGGTGTCGAATGGTGTTCCAACTCCATTATACTAACCTGTTATTATGTTAGTTTGTATACGAGCTACAAGGTTAAAGACTGGTGCATATTTATAGAAACTTCTGTCATATGCTAAATTATGTAGAACTATTTGAGGTATATTATTTCGTTCTTTTAGACCTGTGATTTAGACGTAGTAGTAAAAGTAAATTCAAAAAAACGCTTCGATGTGAATCTGTGAATACTGGACCCCACTTTGGTAATTTCTTACTGTGCTGGTTTGAACTGTGCTTGGTTTGGACTATTCTGATTTATACTGTACTAAATGCAGAATATGATTGGTTTGGACTGACCAGGCTTGTTTTTTTTTAATGTGCACATATTCGCGTCGAAACGTTTTATCGGATTAAAATACTTCCAGATTAATAATTGTCATACTCTTCTTACCTTACTTCATATAGTACCTGATATCTATTGTGCTTGTTTATGCTTTAGCCTCTACTATGCTCAGATTACGTTGATAAATACTGTCTGATAAATACTTATTTGTAGCTAGTTAATTTTTACTGTACATGATTTATAAGATAACGATATTTTAGTTATCTTTTATTTTGTTATATAAAAATTAAAAAATGTAACAATAAATTTTAATTTATTATTATAATCAGTGGCGGCTATCCCATACTAAAGATGAATCCGTCGATATACCATTAAAATTGGGTGGTCATGTTATTTTATGTCTCATCGAATATTTTATTTGCCGCTTTTTCAATGGTTCAATCATAAAAAAATCCATATTATTTTTCGTGATCTTAATAAATATAATATATAAAAAACGAGACTTTAAAACGAATTATATAATTGTGAATTAAAAAGGTGGTAGACGATAGTTTAGTATATTATATTATTAGTTAATAAAATAGTGACTAAAGATGATAATAGTCACACAATTAAAATTATTCACAATTATTTAAACACAATTTACATTATTCATATGAATGTGTATTAAAATTAAAAAAACAAGAAACCTAAATTGGGACCACCCTATTGTTTATGTATTATAAGTACTTATTTTGTTGTGTATACTGGTAAAGTAAGTTACTAGTATAAAAGTATTAAATACATTTGAATA